AGAAACTAACAAACTGGGAGAAAAATGTGTATATGTCATTTAAAAATCAACTGCTTTAGCTTTCCAAACTATTATTCTTAGAACAAAGATCCCTCGCAGGGAGGGGGATTCTCTAACATAAATAAATAAATAATTTTTCTTAAAAGAGATTAGTTTTTGAATATTCTTTTAGAAGTTTTGCTACCATTTTTTTCTTCAGTTTTTTGAAAAGCTGATCATCTTAATTAAGGCTGCTCTACATTTTGAAAGAGAATTTAAGCAAATTGTACCGAATGAAAGGTGTATGTTTTTGAGATTTCATTATTTGCGACATTTACTTCTATTTATAATTTCATTATATATAACTGTATGTGTAATTATGGAAAAATGCAAGCCATTTTATAAATTATATTAACATACCATTTAGGGCCGAGATAGCCTGGTTGGTGGGGACTGGACCCATGTGCAAGTGTTCGTGGGTTCGATCCCCGCCGGCCGAAAACTCCCCGTGTAGTAAATGGTGACTGATGCAAGTTAAATCTGTTGAGTCANTCGCAAATTCCTCCATGTTCCCATAACAAATCCATACCTCTGGAGGTACTGATCCATTAGTTTCCTTGTCTTCTGGATTGGTTCAAAATTACAGGGCTACGGAGTTGAACATTAGTAGTCGTAAACCCAAAATATTGTTCGGCTGTTCAGCGACGGATATAGTATAATAAAACATACCACATGAAAAAAAAATTTCAATCAGTTAAGTGCCACAGCGACAGATCGTAAGATAAGGTTTCCAGCAGATCACCGAACTCAATCTTTACTGACTGCAGTCAGTGAGCGGATGGGTGACCACTTTAATCTACCTGTGAAGGGACTGAGGTTGCGTCATATTGGTTCTCAAACTGTCCTATCGTAAAGTGCGCGACGTCACGCATAGTTTGTCGGTTTACCAAATCGGGGCAGCCATTCCCTCTGCAGAGGATCAAAATTGTGATGGCCTGTCTACGGATTATCGGGGATATTTTTCAGACCGTCGCCAGTAGCACATTGTGCAACTCTAGTGTGACGTAAATAAAGTATTACTGTTGCTCATTCAGTGAAATTTATTATAAATTTTGATCGTAATTACCACCAATTTATAGATACGTTATCTATTTTTAGCATCCTTATCAGTAACGAAACCAGTTTACACATTTGAGATTTTAAATTTATTTTTGGAAAGAAAAAAATATCGATGTCTGACGAATTTTTATTGAGGAAGTTGATATTGAAAACATCAAAACCAGATCGCTCAAAGGAACTTGTGATGTTCTTAAAGTAACCTTTAGTTTCCGCCGGCATTAAAATAGGTTTTACTATTTGTAATATCACTTTCTTCAGTAGTGATTCATCAGGTTAACATTAAATTTCTCTTTTATTTCCTTGCTTAAATATTTCATTGCGACCCCTATTGTGCATAGTTTTTTAACAACGACTCCAAAAATTAATTAAATGGTGATGAGTATGAAAATTATAAATGAATTTTAACTGAAATGAATACAGAATTAAATTTTCAAGTATTTCTACGTTTGTATGTAAATGCTTATTCAATTTTTGAATCGTATGCAATCCCTGCAAAAGGATTGCGTCCTCAAAAGAAAAATTCCGGTGCATACGTTTGATATTATTTTTATTTTAATGAACACAATTCTTTTTTACAAATGCGTATGCTTTTTTTCTTTCAAAATAATCTATTCTGGTGCCTGAAGGAACAAAAAAAAAATCAATTGTTTATGAGATAAGATAAACTATCTGTGATTGTGATATTGTAAATGTCAAAGCTCGATAGGAGTGAATTTATTACTTTCATCAAATCGTTCCTTTCATTTCGAATATTTTTTATCATGAAGACTTTTTTTCAAAGGTAAGTTTGCTTCTACACATCCTTTACGCTTAATAATTCCAAAAAATATAGACGTTTCTTCAAATGGCAATCCTGCTTCCATATTTTATTCCAAGTGACTCAAAACGTTAGCTTTTAGAAGTAGTTTCTACAAATCCCTCTTACCAATGTAAGGTTTGTGGTTTGTACATCATACGCTGAAATCGAAAATTAGTGTTTACTATCTGAAATATATTTTCATGATCTTAACAAAATCATAAGTTAAATGGTAATTTATACAACTTATAAACCATTACTAGATAGCGTGGAGTAGACATAGTGCCGCACAAAGTGACTTGCAACCCTTCTTTTAATAACAGCATCCGAGCACGTTTCTTCAACATTAAAAAATCGTTGAAAAACGTGTTTATTCCGTATTTTATAACTTCGAAAAATATTTTAAAAGAAACTCGTCTTGTGTCTTTATCTATGTCTATTAATGTAATTTTTTTTTTTTTTAAAAAAAAGTTTATCCTGGACTAATTGCTATCTCAAAGACAATCTTTAGTAAAAATGCACAACGATGATTTATAGATTGAACAATTAAAATACTAGTCGTCTAAATTGAATAAGTCAGATTAGAAGCGTAATTAACTGTTTTAAACTGAATCGAAGTAATTTTAAATTAATTTAAATGGTAAAAAATATCTAATATAAGTATCTATTTGGCCCCTTTTTTTTATTGGCTTGTTATTTTTTTCATAGAAATAAAATATCTTAATAATTATTGCGTAACATGATGAGTTCTTGCCTATTTGAAATAAAAAAAATAGTTTTCTTTCTTTTGTTTATTAACTGTTGTGCCATCTAAAAACAACTCACAACATTACAAAAAAAATCAATAAAATAAAACCTGAAACGAAAGTTGGAATTAAAAGAACGAGTGCTAAAATTTTAATTAAAATGATTCGACCAATAGAGTGATTGCATTCAAATGAGCATAATCAAATGTAATTTCATAATCAAATCTATTAAACAAAACTAAATTTTTTAAAAAACATAAATTTAAAAAAAAGGAACTTACTGTGTTAAACTTTATGACTATATGAAATTTAATATTTATTTATGTTATATATTTTCAATTTATCTGTATTGTTTCGAAAATTCTATAATTTAAACTGACGATACAATAATTGTAAATATTTGCGTAAAATTTATGTATAAAAAATTTACAATAAAATTTGAAAGTCTTTATTTCTAATTTTTATTTTAATGAATAAAAATTGCAACTTTTCAAATTATAAACTCAGTTATAGTATGTAGATAATTGATAAAAGAAAATCTTTTAAAGTAGCGAATTGTTTAAATTGACAAGAAGAGAGTTCTTTAAACATATTTCATAAATAATTTATTCGAATATCGTGTGAAAATTTGCATGTAAACATTTTTAAAGATTGTTAAAGAAAATTTTCAAATATATATAAATTCAATTACATTATGTTAATAAATAAGTAAAAAAGTTTTAAACAAAAAAGAATACATATCATTCTTTCATGACTAACAACTGGCTCGGTACCTTGTCCTAAGATTCAAGCAACAGTGTGAGCAAGAGCATTCAATCGCAAGCTTGATTTTTACTTGTAATATTTTTGTATAATGTAACAAACTTGAAAGCATGTTACAAATTGTTTTATTCGTGTATTTTGAAAGGAGGTAGGTAAGGTAGGAGAGAGGAATCTTGAACAAAATCCCAATTTTTTTGAGATCGATGGATCGAAATAATTTAGATCGATCGATTAATAATTTTACTTTGCAGTTATATTGCTTGTTATTTATGCTAAATGTCCACATTTTATAATAATTGGAAGTTATTATTGAGAATTAATCATGTATAAGAATTATTATTATGGAGTAGAATAACTTGAAATAAGGCGTAACTGATGAAAATATTTTATTAACTTATTTTTTATCGTACTTTTTTTTGTTAATTTTTTGGGGATTTTGCAACTGCCTTTGCTACACAGATATGCTATGATTTTCAGGTATTTTTTTTAAATCCAGTTATCTTAGTAATAATAAAATATCGTGAAAAAAAATGTTTTATTGGAGCAAGGAATTTTAAATTAAGTTAAATTTTTTGTGAAAAAGATGGCGAATTAATTCAGGAATTTTGAATTACAAATTCAATAGTATGAGAGAAATTATTTCTCTATAAAAAAGTGAGCTCAATTTCCGTCGTTACCTATACCGTCGTTATAATTAATATCTCTACGGGTGGTAATGGACTGGCTCCCTCAGCTTTTGTAATCTAATGACCTGCGCATGAAGATAAGCACTTTATGGAATCTATCATACTTCCTCCGATTGCCCAAGATGCGCGTACCCTAGACTCTAGTGCGTAAGATTACACTATATGAAAGGCAAACTTTTTGGGCATGCGCGAATAGCATAGACTAGCAATCACTTATGCGAATCGAACTCAGTGAGTATGCTTTATGCGATGGAACAGTTTATCGAGAACTTATTCTATACACACCAGATGTCTTCGCAGGCTTTTCAAAGTGGTCACCCATCATCTCATTGACACCCGCCAGTCATACTTCACTTCTGTGTTTTACTGGGAACCGTGTCTTAAAGGTTATTCTAGCTGGATGTGAAAAAAATCAAGTATATGAATTCGGAAATGCCAGTGAAATCCAGATTGGCGAGTATCTCACAGGCATATGAATTTCATCACGCAGCTTCTCATTCGCATCTCCGAATACTCAACCACAAATTGTCCCGCAGTGGACTGATCATGGTTCCCAGCAGATCACCGAAGTCAAACATCACTGGCTGCGGTTAGTGTGCGGGTATGGAACATGGAACCACTTAGATCAGTCTAAGTAGGGACCGAGGATGTGCAGTATTGGTCCTCGTTAAACTGTTCTACCGTAGAAGGTGCTCGACTTTGCGTGCAGAAGTCGTCGAGCTACCAAAGCTGGAGTGCCATCGGGGGATGTTTCCCAGACCGTCACCAATAGTCTAGTGCAGCTCTAGTGCGACGTAAATAAAATACATACTTACTTATCCAGTGTTATTCAAACTGTAGGGCTGACTTTTTTGTACGAATTGTACGATAGAATACATAATATTTATTTCGCATGACATGAAAATAGTGGTGGCATCAAATCCATCATCACCAGTTTTCAGTTTTCCGGGGGGTGGTTATGGAGAGATAATATAAATAAATATGTTTTTGTCTCAAAAACTATGAACTTTAGGAAAATGCTTCGGGGAGATTTACAACATGGGAAATATGAAGGATCTTCTTAAAAAATCTCTTCAACTCTTAGATGAAGTGACTGAAATTCCTCTAAAACAAAGTATTCATACTGAGAAGTGTTATTTATGTGATTTTGTACCTTGTGTCTTAAATCGTATTAGCACTCAGAAATATATATTTGTATCTTATTTCTTCCGATGATCTTATTCATCCCATAATTTCCTTCGCAATATTAGCGCATTTCAAATTAAGATCTTTTATAAACTAAGTACTATAAATGCATTTTTCTTTGTTAATTTTTGTTTCTTATTGGTGGTATGTTTTATTTTAGCATTAAAAAAAAAACAGATAAAAATTCGTTTGGCCTGTAACTTGTTGCATAGTGCCCCGAAATTTCAGAAGGAAAATTAACAAAATATAACTATGTTCGTAAAAAAACACTTTTTGGTATGTCAAGGAACAAAACCCAATTTAAATATTTATAAACTTGAATGTCGCGTACATGATTTTCTGACTTGTTCTTGACAATTTCTCTTTGTAAAGAAGTTTAAAACAGGAAGAAAATAAGCCTTTTTTAAAACAGTTCTAGAGACTAAGTTTATGCTTCATCAAATTTAATGCAGATGTATTTTATGCATTGTTTAAAAAATGTGATTTTTTTTTTTTAAATTTGAAAACATTTTTTGGCATGAAGGTTTAAAACCTTTTAACAAGTATATTTCTGTTGTATTGCGGTTATTTGCATTAAATACAATCGCTAAAGCTTCAAATGGATTTTATGCAAATTTTGAAAAAAAGGAAAAAAAAAACCTACCTGTATAGCTTTTGCTAGTGAGTGGATATTAGTTATACCTTTCTAGTTGGACCTCTTCTATATGCAATTTTTTCAAACAAGTCCACTGTTAGGAATTCGCCAAGAATTGGCGTAGATCTCGATATAGAAATATTCTCCTCTCAACTTTAGATGAAGATTTTCATATTGTGATCTGTGGCAGAATAATTTCTAGATCGTGGAAACTTCCAGCAGCTAAACTATAAAAAAAAATCATGGGAGGGGATCAACTTAAAGGGTATAACTCATGACCACCTGGGAAACCTCTACATGCTTTTCAAGAAGAATTTGCAAGTTTAAATTCCATTTGTCACCTTGTTGGGGAATATTTTCGTATCGTGATCTGTTGAGCCATCTACAATTGCCAATTAGATTTTAAACTTTAAATTTTTTAAAGTTTAAATGTAGACGTTTGCCCGGGGGTGCCTATGAGTTAAACTTTTCCTGTTGGTCCCTGTCTTTGATGCATTTTTTTAGTGTGTCGTGGGCCGATGTCCGGCAGTAGCCAAGACTTGGCAATTATTCTGCCACAAATCACAATACGAAAATCTCCCACCTTATTGATTGTAGTCGTCAAGACTGATCACGATACGGAAATGTCTCCAACTTTGGTTACAAATAATGGTTATGATGGTAATTTTTTTTTTCAGAACACATGTGAAACTTAATTTTCTGCAGTATATTAAACAAATTAGATATAGTGTGTGATTTAAAATAAATGGTGTTAAAAAGGCAATCAAAAACTTTCAACCATATGGAAAAATTTCAAGGGGTTTAATCTTCAAAAAATTTGGTGTGAAGTTTGTACACAGTATTTATCAGCAAATGTAATATTCAACAATATACATTAGTGAGAGATGTATGATTACTTAATAGAAGCTAGAAATATTAAATACATTTTTATTATTATTAGTAATGTTTATGAAAAGTTTTTTGGATATGATTAAAGAAATATTTATTGTTGATACTGATTTTATTTTCAGGGTCTATTTTTCTCTTTATAATTAAAAGTTTGACTCTAAATTTAAAAAATCAGTACAACGCAAAAGTTTGTAAATTTTTGTGCAAAGTTTTTGCACTGTGTTTTATGAGATAATCATTATGAGTTGTACAATGTATTGAGGAAAAGGAACTCCTTAATAACTTTTGATTTAATGAACAGATTTTTATATATTATTCATTTACCTTTATTAGAGTGCCTGCCTTCAATCAAATATGCTAATTAATTTGTGCAGTACATAATATAAGATACAAAAACATAGTTTCTTGGAATAAACCTGTTTCTTTTTTTTTTCTTCTCATTATATATTGACATTTTTAAGTCTCAAAATATGGGTGGTAGTTGCAATTTGGACAATATGATCATTACAGTTAAGTTTTGAAGAAACTCAAAAGTTTGAGAATCTTAATATTTATTTTACTTTTTGTGTATTTTGTCTTATTTCTAAAACTATTTAAGTTAATGAAAAACTCATTTATTCAAAGAAATAATTAAAATAGTAATTTTGTATTTTGCCATTTAAAATGACAACATAGCTCAAAATAATGTCAGAATTCGTTACCTATTCAAAATTGCTACAATCATTATTAAATAAAATTATTAAAAATAATTATTATTTAAAAAGTTTAAATAATTATTAGAAATAAAATTATTTTTTGAAAAACAATTTTTGACATACTTAAATAGATTCAGAAATGTGGCAAAATTCAAAATAGTGAAATTAACATTAGGAGATCCAAACTGTAAAAGACTATTTTAACTAAACTATTTATAATTGCCAGCTCCTCACCCCTATTATTAGTGTCAGGAACCTACATTTTTTCAAAAACAATTATTTAGTAAATTAGAAAGAAAGTATGTTTTGTCTGATTTTGTTGCTTGAATTTTCCTATGAACTTATTACTTAGTATATTTAAGGTCAGCCCCTTACAGTATTAAAAACACATCTAAATATTTGAAAATCTGACTATTAGGCCTCTTAGGTGTTTCATTTTTTATTTTATACACTGTACATAATTGAGAAATATATGAGCATTTATAAAAGTTTTAAAAAAATGTTAACATTTTCCACTATAAAATAAACTGTATAACAATTATCTCGATAAATTAAAAAAAAAATTTGTACACATAATTTTTTTAAAAAAATTTCTCATATTTTTAAACACATTGCTTATTAGATATATTTTATTATTATCAAATTAATTGTTTATATGTTAATTTTTTTCTGTTTTTAATAGACACAAACACTCAAAAAGATGGGCAACATGTTTTCCTTCAACAAAGTGTTACTCTTCTTGCATTTAAAGATAAATTGTCCATTAATTCAACTGCAACTCCTGGTGCTTCACCAAAGTTACTTTTTGGAATAATCAAAGAAGACCTTCCCTTATTTATTGGTGCTATTATTGGTAAGATGTATTTTAGAATTATAAATCATAATAATCATACTTACCACAAAATAAAAATGAAATTAATTTCTTGAACACCCTCAAGACTGATATTTCGACTAAAAGAAAAAGTGTGAATAAATCACAAAGGAAAGTACATAATTGAACATACTATGATTTTAGTTCTAAAAACAAGAACCTTCTTCAATGTCTAAACACCAAATGATGGTAGCAGAAGTAAAGAGACAAACACTTGCAAAGTAGTTTAATGATAACTAAAAGTTAGTAGTTCGAACTACTTTACACATGTTTGTTTATTTACTTTCTCTGCTCTCATTTGGTGTTTAGACCCTTAAGAAGGTTCTGGTTTATGGAACTAAAACTATTGTTTGTCCATTTATGTACTTTCATTTGTGTTTTATTCACATCATTTTGCTTTAGTCTACATAGTAGTATAAAGTAAACCCAATCCTTTGTTAGACTGTGATATTTGTCTAAGGCTAACAAGGACAGGGCACAGCTTAGGAAATTCACTTTGGGATGAAATTTGGTATATAAATAGCAGTAAACCTGAAAAGTGCCCAACCCTTTAAAATAATACAGCACGCTAGCCAGCCATTTTTTAAATCAAGCACTTTATAGACTAGTTAAATCTTCCTTTGATAACGGCACAGTGGTTTAGTGGCAGAGAACCTACTTAAAAGTGAGATGTTTGAGGTTCGAATCGTGCAGGGTACAGTTTTATTTCTCTTACATTTTTTTTCTAAAAATTTAAGAAAAAAAAATTGTTTTCACAAAAAATTTAAATATATTTTGATTTTATTGTGTTTTTTGATTATTACATGTATCTTGATTTTTATTTGGAGTTATTTAATGTTTCAATAAAATGATACATAATGGTTAAAATAATATTCATAAATGGGGCTTATAATAGTTAAGTTAGATTTTTGTTATTTAATTTTATTGTATATTTTGTAGGGCTCCCAGGAGTCTGGAAGAACTGGGAAAGCCTGGAATTGTCAGGGAATTTTATTTCAACTCCAAAAATCAGGGAAAATTGCAATTTTTTACGAAAACCAGAAAAATTTCTCTTTCATACCTAGAAATCTTAGTCTGCCAGTCTTAGTATTGTCAGTAACAGTAATCAGTTATTGAGATTAGAGTTAAATAATTTTAACATCTTTTATAATTATTTGTTGTAAAAATTTCACATTTTAGTCAAACTGACATGTTCCCATCCTCATTTAATTATGTAATTTTTTTTTTTTTGCACACAAAATCTAATATTTGGCATTTTAACCCACTGACGGTTCTGCACGTAAAAAGTCGCATTTTAACCTGCAGTCTTCTCTGCATAGCAAAACCGNGACATGTTCCCATCCTCATTTAATTATGTAATTTTTTTTTTTTTTTTTGCACACAAAATCTAATATTTGGCATTTTAAATAAAAATCAAAATTTTCATGGTTTAGATAAATTATGTTCAGGATTTTCATTGAAATTTACTTGATATATTTGGAAAAATCAGGGAATTTGTTTTCTGAAGTAGAGTGAGTACCCTGTTTTGTTATCAGGGGTCTGTTTAGAAGGAATTTGGGTCCGTTAACGGACCCTTTACAAAATATCTTCTCATAAAAACCGACCCTTCACAAAATATTTTAACTTAAAAACGGACACTTCACAAAAAGATTTTTCTTTTAATCGGACCCTTCACAAATTTGTTTATCTTCATTATTTTGTTAATCGAATAAACCCTTCCCAGGGCAGAAAACAAGAAAGATGGATGTAAACGAATTAAGTTTTGTCTTCGGCAGACGATTCTTCCATTATTCGTCCGAAATTAATATTCTGCGTTCAGCAGTATAGGCTAAATACCAAATATTTGTATGTTGCATCTCTAATTTAGAAGCAGCAATTGTTGTTTATTTTTTAAAATTTAATTTTTTTAATTATAATTTTACAGTGTTGAGCATAATCTTGTATGTCTATACAATTTAAAAACTCCTTGAAATTTTTTTTTTTGCAATAACGGACCCTATTTGCACAAATTCATAAAAGTGGACCCTGGTTGAAAGAATGTGAGTAATTTTTTCACAATTTCACGAAAAACGGATCTTTCACCAAATGTCTGGACAGACCCCTGGTTATATAAACAATAATCTAGATTTTAATCATGGAAAACTTGGAAGTAAAAAAGGACTTGGCATTGCAAGGTTATACTCATATTAGTACATTTTTGAGGAATCACTTTAAAATCAAAATTTTTAATTACATAATCACTGTTTATAATACTGTTATGTAATATATGTTTCATTCCAAAGTGAATTTCCCGAGTCATGCTCTCATGTAATTGGTAATTTCCCGAGTCATCATGTAATTGGTGTACCTTATTAAAAGAGGAACTGTCTATAAATGATTGTGCACTCCCCCCCCCNTAGAAATAACGTGCCCCCCCCCCAAAAAAAATTTTTTTTTTTGACAAAATAAAACCCTTACATATGTGACAATGCATACATTTTTTTTTGTTTCTGGTTATTAATTTTAATAGAGAATCATTCACTTTAAGGTACAGCATTTTTTTTAATGTTGTTTTCTTGGTCATACATAATATGAATTATGAAAATTCAAGTATGACTACATGTTTAAATTTTCCTGGTTTGATAAAATTTTTGAAACAATTCTAAAATTTTCAGGGATGAGATTCTTCCGCGGATTCGTGGATTTCCTTTTTTTTTTTTCTCTCCAGATCTTTCCATTTTTTCCGCAAATTTCCGCTGAAATTTTTTTTTGTTGCACAAGTTAAAATATTTTATGAGTAATTTAATTTTCCGCAGATCAAAATTATTGAAGCTCTCATTCCTCCCTCTGAAGTTTCTCTAAAATTCAATTCCTTGGGATAAAACTGGTTGCCCTTTATATAGGGATGAGATTTTTTTCTCTTTTGTCTCTCGAATTTCAGCCTTTTTTTCAAAAACTCCAACTCTCTAAAAGTTTTGTTTTTTTCTTTTTGAATAAATATCCCGCTTTTTTGTGAAAATTCAGTCGTTGAAGTAAAATAATTATATTTATTTACGATTTTCAAAGAAAAACAGAAAATTCAAACTACGTTCTAGCTGCTAACCCTTGCGCATTTTTACTTATATTAGCTATTTTCTCCGATTTCACGCACAGAAAATAAGATTTTCCGTATTTTTTATTCGTCGGCGGGATGGCTCATATTTTCGTAATTCAGACGTCGCTGCTTCTTGTATTCTGGAGTGAAAGCAAACAAAGTGGAGGTGGATTTGCGGTGAAAATATTTATTTGCTCATTCAATTAATCTTGTAAATTTTTATTTATTAAGTCTAAACAGAAAACAATACAAACAAGCCTTTTACAAATCCCAAGTCCAGACTCTGCAAATATTTTGATTTTTATTCACGCAATTTTAATATCAATCATCAATTTTCGTATTTACCTGATTTAAAAGTTGCGCATTACAATTCTTATTTACGCTTTTTAAATATCGTACATTATGACTCGTATTTACAAGATTTTAAAATCCAATATCGTGTTTTGTATTCATGCATTTTTAAAATCGTGATTTTATTATCGAACATTGATTTTCGTATTTACCTGATTTAAAAGTTGAACATTGCGATTCGTATTCAGGCGATTTAAATATTGTACATTGCGATTCTTATTTACGAGATTTAAAAAACCAATATCGCGATTTGTATTTACGAGCTTTTAAAACCCTATGTAGCTACGCGAGATTGAAATCCAATGTCGTGATTCGTTTTCGCGGTTGTAATATCGCGCGATTTTAAAATTATTCATCGTGATCTAAAAATTACGCATCATGATTTGTATTTTCGCATTTTTTAAATTCGATGTAGAGTTTCATATTCACGTGATTTAAAAGCCTCATATCGGGATTTATAATCACATGGTTTACATTACAAGTTTAAAAATCGCACTTTTTTGTCAAATTTTCATATATATATATATTCTAGGATTTACTCTTTTTTACTTTCTGACTACTCTCATCCCTGAATTTTTTATACTAATGTTATTTTAAAGGTATTAGTTTTATTATTTATTTATTTATTTTTTGTTACTGAGGTTACTGGACACAGTTTTATTGTAATTTAAAATTTAATAAATGTGATTAACAGATTTAAAAAATTCTATTTTAACTTATTTATTTGTTATATTAGGTGCATCTCTTGTAATTGCACTTTGTGTGCTAATTCTAATATTTTGGAAGTGTTGTTGTAGAATGACTATTTTGAGCAAGAAAAAAGAATATTGTAAGTTTTTTTTCCTCCATCATTTTTCTTTCAGTTCATTATAAAAAAAATTTTCAAGTATAATTTAATCAAATTAAAAAATGTTCATGCGTTAATTTTATCTTCTTCATTAGTTTATCTTTGGGAGCATGATTATGTCATAATTTTGTTCAAAATCCTTAATTCACTACATTTGTTGAAAAATTCTTTCATAATTTAAACATAGTTTCAAATTTTTCTATGAGAGAATTAACATTAGGTTTTATAGTTATCATGAAGAATTCTTATAAAACTTATTCATTGTTTCATAGATTGTTGAATAATAGATAGATATACATTTTAATTTGGTTTATTATATTATTCAGTTAATATAAATTTCTATGTTGCAAAGAAATTAACTTTTTGTATATTTTAACCAGACGCAAAGAAATTCACCTTTTCTTATTACTTTTTTTTTTATTTCATTTTTTGTGAGCTCTCATTTTGTACAATGTTTAAAAAAATAAATAACATAAAATTAGCAAATAAAATTAGTAGTTTCAAAAAATTAGCAAATGTCTACATTTTTGGTAACTCTTACTCTTACCAAACTCTTACCAAAAAGTACTGCTTTTTGTTATGATATATAGTTTTTTTTTTATTTTCTACATACATTGTTTATTCTCTTATAACTTAGCATGAAAAAATTATTAATGCAAAGAAGTTTGTTTTTGGTTGCAATATAACTAATTTGGTTTCGTTTGGTTTAGGGTTACAGCCTAAGAATACATCTAACTTAAAAGGAAAAAAATACCCTACTGTGCAAAGGTATTTATGTATTTTTAAATTTGTGTATCACACATAAACAATTAAAGTCTTTTCTTTACGGTATTTTATACATAACTTATCATAACAAAATAGTTTTTTTAATTGAAATATTTTATATTTCATAACAGTTAAAAAAAAAATTGTTTTTTTCAGCAGCTCCGTTGTTTTTTTGGGACTTAAACCAACTCAGGATTTTGCATATAAAAGAGAAAAATCCTCTGAGGACTGCACTGTCTTCAATTTTTTTGCAAATTCATCTGACAAAGTTAGTGAAATTAAATTTGTCTATATATGTTTAAATGTAAAAAAACTGTTGATTTGAATTAAAATGAAATTGTTAATTTAAATTAAGTTGGACTAATTATTTTTACAAAATACTGCTAAATAAATAATGTTGATACAGTATTTAATGTTGTAAAATCATTCAATTATCATAAACGTTTTGCAATTAAGCAATGTGTGTACTATCTGCCGTGGTCATTAATATTTTGTTTGAGTTTAATTAGAGCATTTCTATAAATAATTTGAATAATAGTTCAATTTAATAATAGTATAGGAAATAGAGTAGCCGAGATAAAACATTTGGTAATTTCTATTTAGATTAAAAATAGAGAATGAGAAATTAGTGAGTGTTAACAAATTCTGTTAAAAAATCACCACTATATTATTTTCTGAAATTGTGTTGAAATAACGTAAATTCAAAAAAAGAATTACGCTAAAAAAAATTAAAAAAATAACTTGATGCATGACTGACCTCTAGAGTATATTTAGTTTTCTTCTTGTCCCTCAAGCCTATTTTTAATCATTTTTAGCCTATTTATAAATATAGTTACTATTTTTTACCTAAATTATTTTTATCATAAAAAAAAATTTGGATTTCAGATTTATTTTCCCTGTGATGTTTTAAAATGCTAATGGTTGCTGTTGCTGCAAAAAATTGTTCTACTTTTCAATTTTCTTCAATATATTTTTAATATTGTATAGTTGTTTTAATTTGAAATTAGAATTCATAATATTTGCTAAAAATTTTCATTCTTTTAAAATTTTTGTGCTCTACCCCTTGGTTCCATTTTTCACTTCTATTTTACCTTCTTTTTTTTTCTTTCCTTTTTTGTCCTGAAACTTTGTTGGGAGCCCTGCCTGTGTAAAAGTACATTTAACACATTTTTTTTATTAAATGTGCTCTCGGGTTATACTAAATTAAAACGTATTCTCATCTTTTTTATATATATATATATGTACAAAAAAAACACCCTATAATTTTATATTTTAATTTGTTATAATGAAATGTAAAATGAACATTATTAATAAATTACCAATTATTTTTAAAATTAAGTTATTTTTATTTGTTAAGAATTTTTGTTATTCAATTAATAATTTTATTGATTATTCCTATGGAAATTTTTTTTTGGTTATCATTAAAACAACTATTTATTTATTAACTTTTATATTTTCTTCGTTTATAATTCATATCTGAGCAACCACCGCAAAAAATATTATACTTATTATTTCATAAAAGCTGCATAATAAAATTCAACTTTATTTGTGAGTCTCGCTTTTGAATACCTCATTTTTGTTAGACTCTGTGCCTTGTAATTATTATTATTTTTTTAAAAGAAAAGGTTTTTAAGCACTGTACATCTTCTACCATAAATTGTTTTTTTGTTTTTTTTTACAATATAATCAATGTGATGTGTAATTTCACCTTGTCTGCAAACAATGTTCTGTAATTCTTTTCAAATTTTGTTGTAAAATTAAAATGACTAATTAGTTTTCCTTTAGGATCTTTTAAATAGCACATTTGATGATTCAATGAGTTACACCATGTCATCACAATGCCCTGACATAATTGTTTCTGATGAAAAGAAACCTGATTCTAATGGACCAAATCTGCTTCCAAATGGTACCTGTTCTAATGATACTGCTAATCAGTCATGTTCTGTGATTTCTACATCATCAGTTTTGCAAAATGGAAGTATTACTCATTGCACGAACTCGAGCATCCTCTCACCAAATGATATGAGCATTCCAAGTATTACCATTCATCAAGAATCACCCGCATTGTTTCATAGAAGCTTTTATTCTGGTAATTGTTCCAAATTTAGATTAGTCTTTTTTTTTGTGGTTTATTTATCTAACCTTTTATTTAAAAGCTATTTATCTTGAGTGAAAGCATTTTCTTCTTCATTTCATTTCTTCATTTTTAAACTTTTTCATTTTTCACAGTTTTTTTTAAAATTTAAATTATCTTTCTATTGCATAACTTTCAAATTTTAGCTAATCTACTATCCAAAAGTGTTTTAGTACGCCTTATTTTGTTAAAGAATTAGAACAAAGCAAATGATTGCAATTTTAAGTTATAATATTTATGTTATTAATATTTATGTATTGTGTGAATGAATCTTATATATTTGTTTACAAAATGTGTTATAATGCCAGAAATTTAAGGAACAATTCTATGAAGACTCAGATAATTTATGAAATTGTTTTATCATCATTGTTACTTGTTGGTGATTGTTTTATTTATCTGCAATTCTATTTATTTGTAAATTATAATAATGCAATTTACATTTTTTTTAGCATTAATAACAGAATAAAAAAAAATACTACAAATATTTAAGAAAACTATTTATTCTTGTTGTTATATTTTCATTAATTCAGTTGACAAATATTTCAGTTCGGAAATATATTTAATAATATTAGTTTGTAGACATGTATTTAATATGTAGTTTGACATTTTAGTTTCGAATTCCTAACTAATCCAGTTTTTGATGTTTCGTTAATACAAAGGTGTCAATTTGTTTTTTAAAATTATATTAAATTTTGTTGAAATTTTTTTATTGAAAATACTTAAAGGAAGCAACTAAGTATTTGGTTCTAATATTTAATATACTAATAAGAGTAATTTAAATGACTTCTGAATTTCGTTCAGGAAAGAATTTTACTGTTTTTCCAAAATGGCAAATGTTGAGAGTATGAATTAAAATTTCGTTTTTTGAATAAGCTTCTTGAAATAATTTTTTTTTTAAAACTGGAGTAAACTATTGTTGTTGTTGTTATTGTTGTTGTTAATTTACGTCGCACTAGAGCAGCACAATGGGCTAACTATTGTAATAGCATTTAAAATTTCGGATTTTTTAAAACGTTGAAGTTTATTTAAAAGGCATTTTATATAGTTCTTGAATGTAAATATTAAAAAAAAATTTAATTTATGCTTGCCTTCATTAATTCATGTTATTCTAGAACTTACCTAGAACTTCTATATCTTATCATTTTAAAATTGACGAATCTGTTTATGCATTTATTATCTCCCCTTCCACCTGTTTTTAACAACCTATTTATTCCAATAAAAGAATAATTATTTTTGTAAACGATGTATTTTTAATATTTAAGGAATATTTAACCTTATAATGGTGTGTGTAGACATGTATTAAAAGATTTTTCCTGAACCTTATAAATATTATTTATTCCTGTAATAATTCTATTCCTTACCTGTCTAACTTATAAAAGTGCGAAATATATTTTCCGATATTATTCAAAAGTTATTCATTTTGAAATGATTCTAGTTAGAATTCTGTTTTTCACAAATTCAAATTTTTGTTATTTCAGGAAATTTTGATCAACATAGTTTGTACAGCTGTGATTCTCATCCTGCATCAGAAATTGGAGTCAGAAAATGTAGTAGCTTTACTTGGAGTAATTATAGCTTACGACCATCATCAAGTGACTGTTACTATGATTTATTCCAAAAAGTAATTTTATTTGCACTCTTCTTCTTGGTTTAATAGAAATATCTCAGTTATGCCATTTTATAGAAAATATATTTTTGGGGAAGTTAAACTTAAATTTCTGATGTACTAAGAAGAATCAAAAAAAAAATTTTTTTTTTTTACATGAGTAAAAATAAATTATGTATTTCCAGTACACAAAAAATACAAATTGGAATTAAGAGGCATATTGGCCAATCATTTTTCTACATGGTTCATACACCTCTGGTTAAATATGAGAATCTCGAAAACTCGAAGGCATTTTTAAATTAGTTTAAAAAACTCTAGGAAAAAGAGAGTTTTTTTTCTAAAAACTAGGATTAATAATTAAAGTATGCAAAAAAATAAAAAAAAACTTTTTAATTTTCTTAAGAAAAAAAAATTATTTTTTTCCACCTTAACCCATTCTCACAAAATTGTTAATTTAAGGCAAATGTTTTCAATAATTAACAATTAGTAACACACTGATGATACAACCATTTCAGATTAAGAAAAAAAAAGTGAGATAAAATTATAACTTTAAGAAAGATATATATATAAGTTAAAAATATTGATAAAACATAAAAAATATTAAAGATTAATGAAAAGAGAAGAAGAAAAAAATTATTAAAATAAAATATTTAAAGAATAATATTAAAAAGCCGGCAAACAAAAATGGTCGAGATATAATCTTTTTCATCATCTGCGCAAATATATCAGCAAAAGGGAGTGCTTTCTATATTATATCAATATAACCAAAGCAAAATATATCAAAACAATAATGTGAGGAGCACTCAAAAAATGTGCATGTTAGTTTATTTGAATTAGCTACTCGCTTCATAGATTTCGTTTTGTGTTTTGTTCCGTTTTTTCTTTATATTTTATTTTCTGTTTTTTCGTGATATGTTTCTTACTTAATGTGTTCCATTTTGTTTCAATTTTTTTTTTAGTGCTCCTCACACTATTGTATTGATATATTTTGCTTTTGCTATATTTATATAATATTTGAAAGCACTCCTTTTTGCTGATATAATCGTGTGAGTTGATGAAGAGATTATATATTTTTTATTTTCCTGGCTTTTTAATATTTTTTTAAAAAAAATTTAAATATATTATTTTAATAATTTTTTCTTCTCTTTTCATTAATCTTTAATATTTTCCATGTTTTCAACTTATTAATTTTCTTCATTTTTCTTTTTTTTTTCTTCTCCTTTTTGTTGTGCGATATATATATTTTGAACAAGAAGTATTTGAGAGGCTGTATTTCTTTCTTCGTTTTTTATGTCCACTGTATGTTGCATATTTATTCTGTTATTTAAAATTTTAAAAGATTTATAAAAATTAACGCAGCTATTTATTAAGCAATTATTTTTTGAAATTTTTTTTTTCAAATTGGTTTTTTTCCCTTAAAAAACTATATCACTTTTTGTGGTATAAAAATATTTTATTTATGTTTTTTTATGCATTCAAATTATACCAAATGAGAAAATGATATAAAATTTTTTATTTCAGTTATTTTTTAAATTGGTCTCTTTGTAACTTAGAAATTTTGTTAATTCAATATTGATATATTAACTATACGCAAACTTAAGTTGCCATAGACATTTGAAGTGTATACATACAGACCAATGATTGCTATTTTATGTTCCAATTATCTAAAAGAATATATTATAAGTTTTTCTATAGTTAGAACTTCCCTATAGAAATGTTTGCAATAGTAATTAATTATGTTTGTAATAGTAATTAAGCAGTAAACCATAAAACAATTATCTAAATTTAATAAAATAGATAATGTAATTTGTAATTATTTATTTCTGTTTCATTTAATGTTTTTATCTGTCGCAGGCAAATTTTTGTAAGAAGAGGAAAAATCGTATGAGAAGTGATATTGCTGCTGCTATTGCTCTAAACAGAAGCCAGAGTTCTCAATTAAACAAAGATACAGAGTTATTAGTTGAAAATGAAGTTGAAGTCGTTTTAGCGGAGAGAACAACACTGTAAATTAGAGATAATTAAAAGGAAAACTTGCATCAAAGTATGATACTTCACCAAGTTAGACTATCATCTATTATTAATGCCCATTTCATTGTTTGAGTTTTTTTCTTTCTTTTAATTTGAAGTTATCTGTGACATTTCTAGTCATTTCAAAGTTTTATCTATTAATTCTTAAATTGGATAACTGTTTCTTACTTACCTCTAGATGTTTTTAATATATCGTCACAAAAATCATCATGCACTTATATTTTTTTGTCAATGGCAATTGAATGATATTAAAAAAATATTGAGATTACTTTTTCTGTGTTTTCATTGATTTGATTGCTCTGTTACTTAAAATACCAGTAGATATTCTAATCATTTTTTTCCTTGATTTTAATCGGAGTTTTTTAAGGTATTTTTGAACTCTCACTGTGATATATATTTAGTGATTAACCCCTTCCTCTACTCTAACCTCATCTACTTTTTTTTCTAACCTCTTTTACGATTTGAGAGCATTCCAATATGAATTTTAATAAAAAAAGAAAAATTATGAATCAATTAAATACTACTTTGTTGAATGCTGTTTGCTGTAACTACTGCAATAAATTTAGCTTGTTCATTTCCATTGGAAAATAATTATAAATAATTAAAACTTCATGTTCTTCAGGCCATTGTTAGCATTTGTTAACTTGTTAATCTGTCTGATAATTGAGCTAATAAAGATCCAACTGTTGTTATTGGTTATAGAAACATTTTGTTTTATGCTTTTGTACAAATTTTATTATTCCATTTTTACTTATCTTAAAACTGTGTCTTGCTAGGTTTCAGTGTTATAAATTTAAAACCTAGTTAATTATTGTAGCACTTTTCTACATTCAATTTAATTATAATGCATTTAAAGAAATTAGTAAATTATTAAGTCCTCTTGCAATTAATTAATTATGAGCTTAGAAGACCAAAGTGTGAGCTTTCTTTTTAAACATAAAATATTAGAATTAAATAATTAGAATTAATTAAAAGTTTAGAATTAATTGTCTGTAATGACTTCATACATTTTTATGACCTTACTTTGTGTGAATGAGTTAAGTAATAAAATAAAATTTCAGTATTGTTAAATTAAATTTAAAATTTTGAATACAAAATTTTTTAAATTATTATGTTTGTATCACAATACATAAAACTGGTAAGAAAACTGGTAACAGTAAGAAAAAAAACTGGTAACAGTAAGAAAAAAAACTGGTGACTTTTATTTTTCTTTCTTAGCATTTACCTACTGAATCTGTCTGGTACATATCTTTTTTAATCACTATGTTAAAATACTTTTTTGACTCTAAAGAGCATTGTAGAATGTTGTTTAAGACACTTAAATACTCTTTAAATGAAATTTTTTTAAAATCTGTGTATTAAAGTTCAAGATATTTATATCATTGATTCTGAAGATTGGTCTAAATTTGATTAATTATAAAATACTTAAAATGCGTTCTACTTACCATAAGAAGAAAAAAATGAGTTTCTTTAATTCATACAGTGAAAATTTGTGGGACTCTGTTTAATTCCTTGTAAAATCTATTGAAATTTTCTTAACGAAATTATAGATATTTTTATGTTATTTTGTTTTGCAGTGTAAACAGCTATTTATCATTTTCAAAATGTTTTGATAATGTTTCCTATTTACACAAGAAAGCAATATTTTCTTTTTATTGATTAGAGAATTTATATTCCATCTTTTTTGAATTTTTCAAATTTTTAATGATCTTATTAGCTTACAAGATCTTAATCAATTGATATTTGATACTTTTTTGTAATTCATACATTCATTTCCAAAGTTTGTACAATAATTATTGCATCTTACATTTAAATTTTTTACCTTTGTAAAAAATATATTTTTATCAAAATGTTGAGGGGAAAAAATATTGACTCCTGTTGAAGTGTGCAGTATTTTATTAACAGTCCCAAATAAGTATTAATTTGTTAAAATTAATACTGCAATATTTCGATTAATTTTAATAAATTTCGTTACTTTCAATTTACAAATTTCTCTTTAGAAATTTTCTACATATCATGTATGAAGAATGTTTTAAGCTTAAATATTTCATTATTTGTATCTCTGTAAAATTTACTGAATATACACCCAAACATATCTGATTTTAGAACTGTTTTTATGTGTAGTTTGGAATAATGCACTTAATATGTAGAAATGTAAATGCACATCATCATAAATGTCAGCTTTTTTCAGATCTGTTAAATATTACAATATTAAATTGCACTTGTGTGAAAAATTGAACGATATCCTCCACAGCACTATGATATTGCTCGAAAATATTTTTTCACCTTATTTTTCTTTCAAATATTCTGAGAGGCACATAAAAGTTTTCATATAGATGTAAATCTTTCATATTGTGGTGTAATTTTAACATCACAAAGTAGCATTTTCTGAGATTTCTGTAAATGTAACTTAAAATACTGTTTCTTACTTAATATGTTAGGTTGAGTTATTAGTTTGCCATAAAAAATTTTGCAAAGGACTTTTTATTAGTAATTAATATTTTTTTTAATTTGTTTTATACGGATTATTTGCTGTGATAATTTATATATCAAGTATTTAATATTTATTCAAATTTTTTATTATGCTATTAACATTGAGATGCATGATTATGTGTGTTTATTANTAATTAATATATTTTTTTATTTGTTTTATACGGATTATTTGCTGTGATAATTTATATATCAAGTATTTAATATTTATTCAAATTTTTTATTATGCTATTAACATTGAGATGCATGATTATGTGTGTTTATTAGTTAAGAATATAAATATGTATAAAACATACTTATTGGTATTTATTTAGAATATATTTTTATGATGTTTTTGTATGATTAAATTTTGTATAAAATATTTTTCTCATTTGAAAGAACTTTTTGCTAACTTCTGCACATTGTAAAATCTTTGTATTACTGTTTGATAAAATGCAGTTAGATGTATTACATTCCTGTTAAATGTGCCAAATGTGTTTAGTAAAAAAAGTAGATGCTATTAGCATTGGCATTGGTCACAATCAAATTTTGTCACAAAAAGTTTTAATTTATATGAAAATAAATTTAGTTTGTATAATGAATGTCTGAGAAATCAAAGGTGATTTGTAATATCAGAAAATGAAAAATTGAAGGAGATAAAACTGTATGGTTTGCTGTGTTCTTTTTCAGAATATTTATTCTCGCTAGGCTACAAAATAAGTTACAAATCTCATAAAAAATTGCTACTGTTGCAAAAAGAAGAAACTTTTTGCTGGAGACTAGACCACTCTTAGTAGAATATTTGCACAGGTGTCTGTTAATTTTGTCATCAGAATGCACCGTTTTTTGTTGCTAATTTCTTTTATTTAGAAAAGAGTTCTATAGTTTTTCTCTTTTAGCCGTGGTATATTTTAATTAACTTTGCAACCGCTTTTGAAACTTGTTTCCATAGCATAATGCCACAAACTATTCTTTTCTACCTCCTTTCATGTTTCATTAATTAACCTTTTCAATTGTCAGTCATTTTTTACTGACCTAATAAGTTACTGACTTTTATGTTGACTTTAGTTCTTTTTATATATTAGTACTTATTTATTGCATTATTATGTTATATTTTTTTAATGTATGTACATATTTATTCTAATATTAAGGACATAAGTTGATATTTTTGAATCTTTTATACTACTGTTATTAAAGATTTTGGTTCGGAATTAAAGAGAGTAAATAAGGATAAAATTTCTTACTCAAGGAAATTGTTTTAAATATTTGTTAATTTATTCTGTTACGTTCTATCAAAAATAAATTAATGGCATCAATTTTGTGTATTTTTGTCATTTTAGAACTGACTCTCTTTCATATTGCTAAAAAAACAATGACTTTTCTAAAAATAAAAAAATTACTCATATTTTTTTTTATAATAATGTAAAGGAAAAGTTCTCTGCATATTTCACTGAAAAAAGTTCTTTGTGCTTGCTTCTTAAAAGGTTGAATACTAACAGAATTACACTTGAATACATTTTTACAAGTTCTTAGGCACTAAAAAATCTCTACATGATGGGATATAATATTTGTAATGAAATAATTCTCTTTAAAATGCAACCAATGAAAAAAAAAAGATAACCACCAGTTCTGAATTATTGAAAATGGAACGGTACGTACAGGAAAGAACAACATATTTTAATTGTTGAGTTATTTTCTAGTCTTGTCATTTTTTGTTTTAGTGATTAGAATTGGCTGCTAGATTATTTTATAACCGGAGTTAAACGGCTGACCCTAGTGTTCCTTAGACCTAGTGACCATAAGCAGAGAACTTTTTTGACTGAACTAACCAACATTTGGCTTTACATAGAGGTGAAATTTTCCCCCAGTTGCCCGACGGCAAGGAGATTCTAACACATAATTCGTCTACCTTCAAAGAAAGTTATTCACTGTGGTCGGCAGAATTTGTATCGGGCGGGTAAAGCTAAGATGTGAACCTGGGGGACCTTATTGGGATCCGATCACTCTATCTCCTTAGTCACCCCGCCTCACTGCCCAGATTCTGAAACTTAATGCCAAATCTAAATTCTTTGGAAATTTATTTATTATAAATAATCCATGTCCTAAATAACCCACGTCCTAGAGAAGAAAATTCAGTGAAATTTAGCCACATTTTTGCAAATGTTCTTTGAAAATTTAGACTAAAAAGAGCTTATTTGCTATCAAAATCGTGAAGGCCGTTTGCCTCATATGCCCAGTCCATTCATAACCTCATACTGTAGATTTAAGGGATCATTCATAAATGATGTCATGCTTAGAGGGGAGGAAGGGGTACAACAATTGTGAAGTCCCTCTTTTTGAAAATATATAAAATCGGCAGATTAACTACTTTTAAAAATTTATTATATGTATATTTCATTGAATTTGGTGTTCATCTAATTATTATTGCTATATTCACCATTGTGATTGAAAAACTTAGTAAATGTTTAAAAAAAATTTAAATATCTGAACTGCATTTGCTTATAGTATAGACAATGTAGCGTGACAATATGTAGGGGAGATGGTAAAGTGTGACAAAGAGGAGAAAGTTGTCCAAAATATCGAATAAAAAATGTGTTATCATTTATGAACGGTTCCTTAATGAATCACTGAAGATTTCATAACTTTTTTTTTTATTGTTAAACTTGTGCTTTCTATTAAAGGTATTTATAATAATTTCGTGTTCAAACAGGAAAGCATGTTTTTCTTTGGCTTTATTATTCTAAAGAAGAGTTCATTAAAAAAGTGAACATTTATAAAAGTCGTGGTCGTCATATAGGCATTTAATTAAAATAACATAAGTTACAAAACATGTTACATCCGTGAAAAAAGATCATTACTATGCTAGAAAAGAAACACAAACAATATTATATTTAATATATCTCTGCTAATATAAAAATTTTAATATAGAATAAAGAAGCCTTTATTAAAAACAATTATATTGAGTACAGAATTATATCCATTTTAAACTGGTGCGGACATTCTATCTGATGATGATGTAAAATTCCATAATTCTTGAGCTGCTAAATCATCTTTTGGAGTTGCAACCGGCTTTAAAATGAATTCTTCTGAAAATAGATTGAAAATCAAACAGTGTAAGTGCTGTGCCAGTCAATTTTAGCATATAACACGAATTATATGTAAATGTTACTGTTAGATTCATATAAATAAAAAATAGAAAAAAATAACTAATACGGTGTGTAGTGTTTAGCATATTTTGAAATTATGTTAGTATTGAAAATGTAATTACAGTAGAACAAGATTATAATAAGAACGTAGTGACGGTAACAGTTTGCTTAAACAGGGTGTGCGTCTAAAAAAAACCCCAAATTGTCTAAAACTATCGGGGGGAAAAAAAAGAACTAAAAGATGTTCGAAAACGAACTACTTTTTATAAGCTTTTTTTTCCGACGTCCAACACACCATAAAATATGACATAAAATACATTATCAATAACACACATTTATCCAGAAAAGATAGCAATCACTCCACGTCTGTGGAGTTGTCTTAAATGTTTCTTTCCCCTCACTTTTAAATTCTGCAGTTTACAAATATTTGGTCAGGAATATCCACTCAAATACGTTGGCAATTGTAGGTATTGTATTTATTTATTTAATGGTTTTTATAGCAACAACTGTTAGTTATTGCAATTCAATCAAGTATTTTTAAACCGTTTAGGAGGTAAAGAAATTTTCTTATAATAGTCGAATGCGTTTTTTCGTTTGTATCCGAATTATATTCGTAATAACAGCTTTCTATGTTGCCATTTTAGCAATGAACCTACCATTTATACGAAATTTTCTCGTTAAACCAAGATTTTCGTTAAATCATAGCCCTTGATAAAGAAATACAGAAATACGACAATATTTAGATTTTTATCATTAAAAAGTATGTATATTTCTGTTAAGAAACTTCGATTATTCTTCGAAAAAGGGTTCAAGTTAATAAAAGCATGTTATTTTAAAGAATTTTTTATATTAACCATAATGGTTAGTAGTCAGTATTTTAAAAATAATTCGGAACCAAACACAAGCATCTTATAAAAACATTTCAGTTCGGAAAAGGCAGAGTTATAAATTGCTCACATTTTTTGCATTTGATGAAGAGGAATCAAATCCCCACATAAAGAATTCTTATTTTTCTTCATCAATTACCAAAAAAGCCATTAAAAATCGATAACTTCTCAAATGCATACGGGTTGCTCTAAAGAAAATTGAACAAGTGTGATAGCACCAGAAATTTAATAATGATAGCAGCACATCACCACTCTAAAATGTTAGGAATTGGGGTATTAGGAATGCTCCGCAGATTGTGCGTAACAGTGCGCAAGTAAACATTTAAAGTGAATGTATAGTCCTGATAAGATGCGTTCAGAACAAAATAATGCGCAGTTTTGTGGTTGTCATTGTCAGAATGTGAGCTTAATGAGGACATTTTTTGTCTAATGTTCACTGTATATGGCGAGCACTTTCTGCGATGAATCGCGGCAAACAAATAGAATAAAAGTTTTCGTGAAGGCCTTATATTAATATTGCATCTGTCGCCGACCAGGTGGCCGAGTGGTTAGCGTGCCTGACTGCAGAGCCGATGGTTGAGGGTTCGAATCCCGCTAAGGACATGGATGTTTCTTTCTCTCTCTGTGTGTTCTATGTCCTTTCTCCTTTGTCTGTGTGAATGTGACCCGCCCTTTAAACAGGTTTATGGTTGTGTGACGTGGGAGACGCTGCTCCACCGCCTCGCTTCACCACAGATGCCCACTGGGTAACGAGAAGAGAGTAGCAGTTCTGGCATATGAGGCCAATGGGACAATATATCCCAAGTGCCGCCATTAAAAAAATATATATATATTGCATCTGTCATGATTGATCAANTGGTTAGCGTGCCTGACTGCGGAGCCGATGGTTGAGGGTTCGAATCCCGCTCAGGACATGGATGTTTCTTTCTCTCTCTGTGTGTTCTATGTCCTTTCTCCTTTGTGTGTGTGAATGCGACCCGCCCTTTAAACGGGTTTGTGGTTGTGTGACGTGGGCGACGCCGCTCCACCGCCTGGCTTCACCACAGGTGCCCACTGGGTAACGAGAAGCGAGTAGCAGTCCTGGCATATGAGGCCAATGGGACAATACATCCCAAGTTCCGCCATTAAATATATATATATATATATTGCATCTGTCATGATCAAGGGGATATTTCCGTATCGTGATCTGTCGCGCCAACTGCAATCGCCAAGGTGGCAAATAGATTTTAAACTTGCAATTTAAAAAAAAAAAAACATGTAGGTGCTTGCCCGGGGGTGGCTACGAGTTATAGCTTTCAAGTTAATCCCTTTCTGTGATGGCTTTTTTTTTTTTTTTTTTTTTTTTTTTTTTTTTTTTTTTTTTTTTTTTTNAAGTTTCCAAGACTTGGCGATTATTCTACCACAGATCACGATACGGAAATCTCCCCAAGATCGAAAGCAGGCCATGATTCCAAATGTTTACTTAACTGACTACTTTTCTGTACACGTGCAATTCTATAAATATTTTCCCTTCATTTTCTTCTTTTCTTTTAAATAAATAAATCGAATTGCTATTGCATTTAACGAAAAAATTCGAAACGTGCTTTTAATGCAATGTGATTTTAGTACTATAAATTTAAGTGTAAAGAAATGAAATAACGATTCCAACATACTTTCTACTTGAGTAATATATTGCGTTTTTTTACTACTCTTGCTGTGGCGACTTTTCTTTTCTCCTTGAGGGCATATAATTTCTGAAAAAAAGATATAAGAATATTCAGTCAAGATTTTACAATTCTAAAAAAAGGAAAAAAAAAAGATATTTTGAATTAATTACATCTCATTCTCATTATAATTCTAAGATTATTTTTATTCAAAGCTTCCAATTATTAATTATACATGTCAATTTAAGGATCATTCTTATTGCACGCATTTGCACATATGATCGCACTAGAATTGCTCATTGGGCTATTGGCAAAGGTCAGGGGAACATCTCTAAAGTTGATCCGAAGACATGTCATCACAATTTTGATCCTCTGCAGAGAAGATGGCTCTCGCGTTTCGGTAGCCTCGTCCTGCAACGGGAATTAAAATGAAACAATAGTTTATTGAGAACCGATTCCGAACACCGTCAGTCTCTTCGCAGGCTGATTAAAGTGGTCATCATATACCCTCGCACATACCAGTAATGCTTGACTTCAGTGATCTAGTGATTCACTGGGAGCTGTGTCTAAATGATCAGTCCACTGCGGATTCGCAATTTTTTTCTGTTGAGTTTCGAATTAGTCCCTCATTTCGATATGAGCCTCTCCTCCATCTTTGGTGCGATCGTAACGCTCGAATATGCCATCTGAGGAAACGACCAGTTGTATGTTTTGACCCTCTTCTTAGTTGTATAGGAATATACTATGATATTATTCCCTTTCGTAATATTTTTTATGAACTGTCAAAAACATTTTTGAAAATTTCCACGACACTTTCTTTTAGAACTATGTTCAACGTAGTTTTTGGTTCCATATAGTTTCCAAACTTAAATCTTCTTCATCTATTTAAAAATAAAGACAGAAACTAACGTTCTTCCTTCTACTATGTCTTTTTACACGCTAATGGTGAAAGCATGCGAAGTGACGCCATAGCCAGAGAGTTTTGCTTTACGCCACCTGGAGCTCATTTCGATCGCCAATATCTTTTGCAACATTCTTACTGCATGCAATTTCGCATATGCGATCTTACGTCAAATGCCCCCAAAGCAAAAATGACTGCGATAATGAAAACGGACAATTCAAGGGAAGATGGCTGTGAAGCGAAAATATTAGTGAGTACCGAAACTTAATTAAAATTTTCAAAGGGTGTCCTCTTATTATGTTTTAAAACGATAAAATAAATAAGCCAATAAAATAAATAAATCAATAAAATAAATAAATCAATAATTACTGAAAACTTATATGACTATGTAAATTACAATTTGTTGCTTCTAATGTTGTTTCAAAGATGAAAATCACATGAAGCAAGCACGAAAAAGGAATGTTACGTACATACAGTGAAACCTCTCTGACACGACCACACTCCGCTTCACTGTAAAATGGTCGTTGGTAGATTTTGTCCTTGTTGTAGTTCTTTTACGTCGCACTAGAGCTGCACAATCGGCTATTGGCGACGGTTTGGGAAACATCCCTGAGGATGATCCGAAGACATGCCATCACAATTTTGATCCTCTGCAGAGGGGATGGCACCCTCGCTTCGGTAACCCAACAACCTGCACGCGAAGTCGAGCACTTTACGGTAGCACAGTTTAACGAGGACCAATACCGCACACCCTCGGTCCCTACGCAGACTGATCCAAGTGGTCACCCACCTGCACACTGATCGCAGCCAGTGATGCTTGATTTCAGTGATCTGCTGGGAACCGTGTCTTAACGATCAGTTCACTGCGGGACGGCCGTTGGTAGAACTTGGTCGTTCTCAGATATACCTCCATTGACTTCAAAACTGTTATCGAAGGTACATGATTTTTAAATTTAACATCTATAAAAATGATACCAACTGATATAATTATATGTAAAAACAAATTTACCTATCATGAATGATAAAGCTATTTGCACCATGGAAAAAAAATCAAAGAATTTTTTAAGGCTGTTCTTCGAAAGCTCCGTCGTAATATGAAAATATGCTTTTTTGGGAATAATATGCTATTTTTATAACTGCTGGGAATTTGCAACTGTTACTCATAACTGCTAAGTCAAGTTTAGCCTATCTAGAGCTAGCGTTGTCCACTCTTATTTTGAAAATGGCGCAAAACGTTAATAAGGAAAAAAGCCACAGTTTTATGAAAATAAAAAGCGTTTGTGGTTTAAAAACTTACTTCAGTTCTGTATTACCTGGGCTCAAAATAATTTGCAAAAACTGAGAATAAGGCAGCGATTTTAATAATTTTCATCTTAGTGCAAAATGTCACCAAATTGGTTGATTTTTAAAAATTTTAGGAACTTCGAAAATATTTAAGTTATTTGTCTGTTCTAAAGTCGAGATAATTCTTGACGGCAAGATTGTATAGATAGTTTAGAATCATCGCATTGCGTCAAATGTAAGGCACTTAAACTATGGCTTTTTTGTTTTCCTTGGCGACAGAGCTTGGAGAAACAGCGTTAAACTATTTATTTCAGTTGAATAGCAAGAGAGAAGAATTTAACAAAATTTCCCATAAAAACCAAAGGGTGTTCTTTTGTTTCTTTCGTTAATGTCGTCGCTGTATTCCAGAAAAGTTTAAAGATTTTGAACAAAAAAAAATAAAATAAATAAATAAATAAATAAATAAATAAATAAATAATAATATTAATAAAATTAATTGTTATTTTGAAGTTGATAAAGGCAAATAAATATACCAGAAGCTGTAGAAATCATAAAAGGATCGTGAACTTTTTTGGATATTTTTTGCTGACTGGTTTGCTTTTCAAAAAAAGAGGGAGAAATAAATTTTCGCTTTAATGCTTCATGAAGATATTGTAATTTTTCGTGCTGCCTTATCCGCTCCTTAAGTTTTTCAGATAATTCAGCAGTTCTCTTTTTTGATACTTCCAGCTCACACCGTGTACCTAAAACACAATATTTTATTTAAACCTATTATTATGGATATAATTTATTATGTGCTAAGTATGTAGTCAAACACTTGCTTATTTTCCTGTGACTCATAAAAAATATGCAATTTTCAGACTGTAGAATTTGCAATTTTATTGAGAAATTTAAGATCAGTTAGTCATATTTTATCAGAAAAAAATTAGTAAATTACAACTCTTAAAATTAACTCATGAAAAAACCAACGAACTTTAAACTATTAAAATATGTAATATAATAACGATCATTTGGGTTTATTTATTCGTAAATTTACGCTGCAATATTCAAGCTCAATAAGTCTAACTTCTAATACAAGATGGAGGTCTAAGACAGGGGTCGACAAAGTGATCGAATTTGGCTCTTGAGGATAGATATAGTATAGTTAGGGGTCGATCCGAATTAGAGGATGATGAGTAAAAAAACAATACAATTCGATCTTAAATTTTGTGACAGCAACGCAGTATAATACCATTTTCGTTTGGAATGCTTTTTTTAATTGCAACATAAGTAAACTTTTTATAATACATGATACCTTATTTCATTTCTCATTCCAGCATACTTTTTATGCATTTGTATGAATTTCAACAGATGTTCAGCAGATGTATTTTCAAAGTTTAATAGTATTCAAACACGTCTCCAAGGAAAAGATACATTAATTCAAATATAAACACTAATTTTAAGCTTTCAAGTTAAATGGAACTCGTATGTCTTATTGTTACGTAAAGATTTTCTACATTTTTCAAATTTAAGACCATTAAATATCTGCAAGTGGCGTCATTGTAGATAAATCTTTCAGATGTAGTTTCAGAAATTTCAAAATAATTAAAAATAATTCCATAATACAGATTCAAAAGCCAGTCTCTGTCGTGTCTTCCTCTTCTTGAAGTGCAAGTACCCAATAGGATATAAACGACTGAGAATTAGAAATATAAACGAATCATCTCCAAAAATCAACAATGATTTTATCTGACGCTTTGGAGATATTGAAACTATGGATATCCCAGAATTGATTATTGCTCCAATTTCTGTTGAAGTAGAAAATACGGTCTGTCATTTACAAGCTCAAGTAGCTTAATTATAAGTTGACTTTTAATCAAAGATGCGTTTATTAACTGTGAGTAAATTTTAGACAAATATAAATATTACACAAAAATATCTAAAACTTTGTAATGTGACATTTCCTTTTTTAATTGCATATCCACTTATGGTTGAATCTGGCTTCAGTAATGTTAAATATACTTTAAAAAACCAGAGAAAGAAAATGAATGCGGAGCTCCGGAACTATTTTAATCTGATAACAAATTTCGAATCAAACATTGCTAATCTAGCCAAGCGTCATGAAGCTTATCCTTCTCATTGATTTATACAAAAATTTGTTTTTATCAAAATAAAATAAATAATTTTAAGAAACAGGTAAGTTATTTTTCGCTTTTTTTTAAAATAATTTTTAGAGGTAGTGAACAAAGGAATTCGAAAATTTATAGTGGTCACTGATCAAAAAAAAAAAAAAAAAAAAAAAAAAAAAAAAATATTGGTGGCCTCTGGTCTAACGTTTTCAAATGGTTTTATTATCCCATAAATTGTATTCCTAGAGTGTAGACACATAAGTAATACTCAGCTGATATCTTAACTTTATTTTAAAGGTACACGAACCATTGGAAGCAAATAAGTATGCATCACTTCCATGGAGCAGAATCTCGCTGTCTGATATGAATTTGATAGGAAAAGAAAAATTACACTTTAATATTTATTTTTATATTTAAACGTTTATCCTGTATTGTAAATAAAAAGGTTGACTGTCAAAAAAAAAATGTAAATAAGGTAAAACATTGAAAAAAAAACTTATTATTAGTTGTAATAAAACACATCTTACCTTCTAACTGCTGCCGAACATCTAAATTTAGCTAAGGAATTCATGAGATTATTTGAAAAATCAAAATCATCTTGTTTATTATGAGAATGCCATATAATTTTTATGATGGTCAGACTACGTAGACGAGTATGAGATGGTGCATTTTAACTTTTATGCATCACAAATTTTTATACGCAGCGAAAATGTCGATTGTACGCTACATAATGGAAGACTTATTAACCCTAAATTAATTGACTGCGTGGTCGGACCTTTACAAATTACCAACTCACACTTAAAAAAGAATTCGCTCAGTATTTACATGATAAAAGGATACTTTCGAGTTCATTTCTAGTTTTTTGAAATATATTATCATAATGCTTCTCTAGTTGATGAGATCTTTCTTTTACTTTGGCTGAGATATATTCCTGAAACATGATTTCTTGGTGTACCTAAATATATTTTAATAATTCAAGATTACAAAATGATACACTGTGATGGCGTTGATCGCCATTACCAATATTTTAGTGGTAGTTGAAGTATCATCATTGACTTTTTGGCCGTTACATACACATCTTAATTTGGATGTAATAAAATAATTGTCTCAAGGAAATAAATAAAATCGTTTAAGCAAAATTGATTTATTAAATATTGAAAATGGCCATAATTCAAAAATATAAGCATAAAGAGAAAAGAAATCCCTTAAAGGAATCAAAATTAAATATTCTCTTACATCGAGAGTTTTGTTAGCATGAATAATATTCAACGGTTGGGACTGGGAGGCCCATAAGGGCACCCCCAGTTGCCACAAGTTTGAAATTGAAAGTGAATGAATTTGTTCACAACGGACAACAGGAGCATGGAGAAGAGATTCAAGATTGGCGAATTATTGAAATATAGCAAAGCCAAAACAATGCCAACCCCCCATAATCAATATTAGGTTTGAAAATACTTCGGCGATCGCGAATCGCCAACAAGACTTTGAGAATTAATATAACCATGTAACTGAAGTATATTCGTGGAAAGAAATTAATAATAAAGAGTTGTAAATAGATTTTTGTTTTCGATTAGGTGTGGCAGTGAACTAATGAGTTTACATTAGTAGTGAAATAAAAAGTTAGCCGTTATATTGATCGATAAGAAAAGAATAAAATGTTTTATGCTTTTAATAAAAATTCACTAATTGATTTAATTCAATTACAATTCAATTAAGAATGATAAAAAAATACGTTTAAGTAATTAGAGAAATTTTAAAAACTAGGAATTATGTAATGCCAATTGTGGCATCACATACACATATTTATTTTATTAGATTTGTTTAACGTAATTAACTTTTTACTTCCTTTGGTACATGATGCATTAAAATTGGTTTCATATAAAATTAATTGTTATCAAAAGATTGCCTTTTAAAAATACTTTAAAATAAAAATTAAACAAAAAGAATGAAAATGTTGATTTAGGTTGGTATGTAATTTTGAACTTACCTGGTATGTCCAGAAAGAAATAGCTCTAGAACATATTTCAAATATGATTTCAGGCCTTTGACCAGCAAGAACCATCTAACATGGATAAAGTGAAATTTTAAGCAAAAGTATTAGTTAACGTATTCTCCAAGTTCTAGGATTTATTACTAGTTTCATTACTTTATCGAAAACCTTTTCTAAAATATTGTCAAACTTTTGAGCAAAACTTATCATTACATCAGTAATCAGTAGAAAAATACATGGAAAACATTCAAAAATAATTCAAGCATACTGCTTAAAAATATGAAGTTAAAAGTTTAAAAATAATAAATAATGCGAATGCAAATAACAATGAGAGGAACTTCTCGTACAGCTATAGTTTTTATCTTCGTTGTTCAAGATGGTCAATAAATTCAGATCAATTCAACTAGTTGACCATTGCCTATTTAGAAATTGGAATGAGGGAAAAGCAAAATATGAAGGATTTGTTTCAACTTCTTGGTGGAAGTTTACTACGATTAGGAAAATATGCCAAAGACAGAAGTCAAGTTAATGTTAAAAGTACGATAACCAAACCTTTTTTTAGGTTCGATCATTTTTAGGTTTCACGCTTGTTCAATATCTCAGAAATATAGCGCCAACTTGGCATCTTTGTCTTAGCATCCTCGCCACCGTTTCTTGTAACCCCAAACAGTTGAAAATTAGTTGTTGATCTTATAGCATGAGCGTGCTCGTAGCACCAATCATAATAAAATCTTAAATACAGTCCAGATGATATTTTATTCTATTGTTAACAAACGAACCAGCATAGAAATCAATCAATTAGTAACGAACAACGCTATTGCACAAACAAAACAACGTGTTCTGTAATGACTGCCCTTCAAATATATTTTAAAGAATCCTTGAACTTAGAGTACAGAAACTATTAAGGATCGCAAATGAATATTTAAGCGAAAAAAGAAAACAGAAACGCAATAGGGATCTACATAATCACACTTAAGGAAGGCAAGACAGGAAATACTAAAATCTATTTGATTTCCCAAGGAAACAGAAAGGAGTTGAAATGCGAATCAAAACAACTGCAAGTTTCATTTGACGATCAAGCTGGTTCGGATATTTCACAATCTCGCTTTCCTCAGCAGTATATCGTTAAACTACGATAACTTTTTTTTTCTTCCGTCATTTAAATGTTTATTTTCTACCTTCAATTTGTGTATTCCATTTTTTCTACACTTCTAACAAGGATTTCAAAAATATTCTAAGAGTGGTTGTGATTACGAAATACTCTGTATATTTGAAACCAATAATTTTGATTTCAGTGTATTGATGAGCATAACTTCAATACATTTTACTTGATTTAAGCTACGTTTTCTCAAAGATGATGTAATTTAAAAATTTATTTTTTATAAGTATTTATACGTTTATATTTTTATTCTAAATATATTTTTTAAATAAGGTTTTAGGCATTCTGTTAAATCTGAATTTTTTTAAATTTTATTATTATTATTAAAAATCTGAAGCTTTAGAGAACAAAATTAGTTGAATCGGTTCGTAGAAATAAAATTTAAAAATTACGACATTCCATGAGTAAAATATTTAATTTTTTAACTATTAGTTATCGGGGAATGCAGTTAAACTTAAAATATTTAAGAGCATGGTTTCTCTTATAAAAAGCGAACATTAGATAAATACTTATATATTCTTTAATATCAAACTATTTAATCAAAGTAAAAGCTTACAATAACAACAAATAAATTAGTTAATAAAAAAAGTCAAACTGTGGTAAAAACAAACAAACCAAATTAAGCTAGGGACTGTGTTTCACGCAAAAAATTAAAAGGTACAAGAGTAACTTTTTAGAAGTCTTTATTAATCTTAAGATGCAAAAACTCTTGAGCGTGTAGCTCCTTTACTATATATAAATTCAATATTTCTTCATAATAAAAATAAAACAATAATAAATGTAACGAGGAACCATAAATAAATAATTCAAATGACTTATGAATTATATTTATACACTCATGGACAAAAAAATTAGCACACCAAGAAGGAGTCGTCAAAATGAAACGAAATTTTACATACGTAATAACTACTTCGATATAAGTAAATGATTAGAAAATCAAAGATTTTCGTTTTTCTTTGATTTTCTAATCATTTACTTGCATCAAAGTAGTCATTACGTATGTAAAATTTCGTTTCATTTTGACGACTCCTTCTTGGTGAGCTAATTTTTTTGTCCATGAATGTATTTATTCCTAAAATTTATTTTTCTAATTACTAAGTCTTGGCATAACATACAAATATATCTTACCGATAATTATATTAATATATCTTATGAATTTATCTTACCGATTTGTATTGCTCTGTTGGATTGAGATCAACTTTAACTATGTCATATTTACCAGAGAGAGTGGTTTCACCTATTTCAGATTTAAATGAAAACAAAATCAAATAAGAATATTCAGATGTACTTTATTTTTATCTCGAATTTATTTGAAATATAATTATACTAGAGTCATCTTTACTTTCGCAGAATAGGAAATTCAATATACCCTTTGACGCAGATGATACATATAGCTTGGGGACCCTTTTATATATACATACTATTTTTATTTTTATTTTTTATTCTTTAATTTCAAGCAAAAATATATTTTGGTACTTTTTAGTTATTAAAAATTGCCAAATAGTTACTGAAAACATTGTTAGATTATCATATTATTTGTACTGAAATATAAAATCCAAAAAAAAAAAAAAAAATAGTCTGATTTTTTTCCAATTCATATTCAAAAATACAACAATAATTGATTTGATAAATTAAAGAAATTCCTATGATAAATTACTATTTCTCTTAGATCTAAATAACTGAAAATAAGAGCAAATTTTAAAAATTGTTGTTTGGAAATGAGCCGTGATTAGAAAATTTTACCTTCAACGTAGAAAAAAAAAAGCCCCGCAGTTTCACGCGGTATTTTATAATCATAAATTATTAAAACGCTAAGCATAATAATTTCCCTTTATTTAGTTCAAAGTAACCTAAATTAATATAAAATAAAAATAAAGGTATCAAAAATATGTTTAATAAAAATTGTACGTCGAAGAGTTAAATTAGTATTACAGGGTTATTAATGATGTATGATTTTATCCAGATGTGAAATGAAAATTACTTACATGCAGGGCATATGAATGCTTTTTCGAATTCTCGCAGACCGTCATCGTGGCAAAATATATTTAAGTTTCAATTAAGGTTTTCTTAAATAAGAACGGCAGTTATCTAACATTTAAATATTTTGCAATTAACGTATATAACAAAATGCGAATAAAATAACTTAAAACAATACATATTTAATAACATTTTAAAGCAGAAAAGGATATGAGAACATGAAGTCACCTATAATAGAGAAAAACTTTATTACATTTACTGATTTATTATTATTTTAAAAATTAAACAAATACAAATCAAACTTTTTCTTTTGTGATAAATAAAATAGAGATGTAGAGTTAACTTGATTTTACTATCGAAGGCAGCTGGTGAACAAATAAATAAGTCGAGTTAGATTGTTAGAAACTAGGTTTAAGTTAGAAGACTAAGATTTTTTCTTAAAATTTGTATTTCGGAATTGTTCTTCATTCATCTGCGTGTGATATCCCAATAATACAGATAATACAGTGAGTGTTGCTGAAATATTAAAGGTTTACAAGTTACGAATTCATACGGAAGACAAAATATCAATTCACACAAAATTCCTTATTTTTTAAAAATCTTTTTTTCTGTATTCCGCCCGTAATTAATCTCTTAAATGTCAATGTATTAATTATCAAAAGTAATATTTCGCAATATAAATAAATAAATAATTGCACTTTGAATTCTTTCTCTGTTATTTAATAGAATTGCACTTTATAAATATCGTATCAAAATTGATAAAGTTAGTCTCCAACAACAGTTGTTATCCTCTTCTCTATCAAATTATTATGCTTATTGAAGATTATTTTAATCAAGAAAATAATGTTAATGTAATAATTTTTACATTAGAAAAACAAAGCTTAATTTTTGATAAAATATTCCGAATAACTTACAACAAAACCTTTCAAGGAAATATAATAATTAAATGCTATTTTACAATATTTAACACTTTCTTAAATTTTTAACGTCCATTTGTCATTGAACCATTTATTTTTTATTTCGTTCTTCCATATATAGATATTTTGATGAAAATGACAGAGTTGACCAATAGATGACGCAAATTAACTTACCCAAGCTTGCGATGATAATGGTTTACGGCACTTTTTGAAGTTGCACAGGAGCTCATTGTCCATTTCGAATCTTTTATAACACTTATTTGTTTTGGCAAATTTGAAAACGAAACAAAAACTATTAGGTTTCGTTTGATACTAGATCAATAATTTAAAAAAAATCGTAATTGATTAAGCTGGTAGAATTTCTACCATTATGCCCAACAAATATATTTATTTAACAAATTAATCTCACTAATTATTCCAATAAAATAAGGATATTATAAAAAAAAACATAAAAAAAAGAGAAGATTAAATTACCGTTCCTGCTGTATGCAAAATTTTCGCGGATGCGAATTCTTAATGAGAAACTGATTAATGATTTAAGAATTATTCTTGTTGCCTGCGATTTTTTCTCGTACAAATGAGAACCTAATTGAAAGTTTTTAATGGGAGAATATTTTTCACCAATATGGTTCTCATTCACATACGAACAAATTATCAGGCTGTGGAAATGCTCCTTTACTCGTAAGAAACTCGCTAACCAAATTCTCAGTAAGAATGACCCTTAAGGAAACTTTTCTTACTGGAATTTTTTAAGTTCTTTGGTTGTGTAGAATCTTCAGGTCTTATGAACTGGTAACTTGCTAATAGATTTAAACTATTCTTTAATAAGGAAGCAATCCCACTTTATGCGGTTGCTCCTATCGCCAAAGAAAGTATGATTGGTGACTTTTCAAATATTTCACCAATCTCGAAGATTATCGTGTAAATTTTATTTAGTGAGAATGGCTCTTTTAGTTAATTTAGTTTCTCAAAAGCAGCTACAGTACAGTTCAACTCAGCGTAACTGCAATATTTTCCGCTTTCCTCGTGTTGTCATTTGTCGCAATTAGTGAAAATTTTTGCTGCAACGTGTTTGTTGTTTAAAAAATTTTAAATTTGTAAGTTTGAAACAAGACATCTTAAATTATTCCATAATGCAAAACGACAGTGGAGAATACGTTGATTTATACATACCTCGAAAATGGTGAGTGGAATTTCAAAGTTTGAAACTATGATGTAGACTGAATTTTTACTGATAGATTTCTTCTACTATAATTTTTATCGAAATTAATTTTTTCCCGGTCGAATTGTGGAGTTGACTAATAAAGCTTTTTTACTTTAATCTTTGCATGTTTGTTTTAACTTGTTTATCATTCAAATGATTCCGATAAGCCTAACACCTTATTTGATGAAAGTTAATAGTTCTTCTAGTTTTAGTAATTGCTCTCTTTATTAGCAGCTTTGTTGTATTTTCCATGTGTGAGAAGTTTTAGGATTAATACATGACCTGCAGTTGTCGATTTAATTGAGCGTTACCAGTATCGATAATTAACGAATTTAATTGAGAATTTTCTTGCATGAAAAATTATCTGTTTTAATGAAACTTATCATACTTCATTTAGTATTATATATGATAATCCATGCTTGATTTTGTGTTTGAAAAAGGCAAAATGATCATTCTGCTTGTATTCTGTGCATTAACTTTTATGAGTAGTAGGAGTAGGTTTGATACTTGCAAACTACTGTAGTTTCAAATAAGTAGTTTATTTTTACATTATATCGGGGTTAACATTCTTAATTTCTTTCATGGTCTGTGTTAATTTTCTGTTTTGATGTTTTAGAAAATAACACATTAATAACAACCAAAAAGATTAATTTAGAACTCTAAAGATTTAAAAAAAAAAAAATAGTTGAATTTCCTGGCAAACTGATAATTATGATACTAAATTTTAGCGCAGCTCTTACAAAATTTTAGCATTTAAAAATAAATATTCGATTCAGTATTTGTATCTGCAGAGTAATGTTAAGTTTTGTCTAGAAATTTCCTGGGAAAAAATCAAAGAATAAATAAACTAATTAGTAATGTTCGAAGCACAGACATGTGATTCTTCCTCGAATCTAAAGCCCTTTAATTCACAAATTTCTGCAAATTAGAATTTTGTTGCTTTCACAAATTCTCGTTAAGATAAGAAGACAATTTTTTTTGTCCTTCGTTTTCTAAGCTTTCATTCTTGTGCAATTACGACTTCATTCGCAAATATGTTTGAGAGAATTCCAGCTTTGGGTAAAATTCAGGAATGAGAGACAAAAAATTTCCCTAATAATTTTGGCTAGAATTACTGAACTATTCAGGCAATCACAATGATACAAAGTTGGTGATCTTAAAATTTATTCCCAAATAAATCAAGAAAATATTCAAATTTTTTTTGTTTAGAGAATGTTAAAAAAAAATTTACTTTCAGTAAAAAATTTCTGCAATTGTATGTCTGAGACATCCTTAAGCAAATTTTTTTCTCTCCCTTTTTTGAAAAACTAATTCTTGATCCTTCAATGGCCATTTTAGGAATATGTTACATATATTTGTATCAATATCAAATAATGTTTTTTTTCTTCTCATTATGAGAGATTTAGTTCAGGTTTTTTTCCGCTTACCTTCTTAGTAACCTGCGTACCTTCTGTATTTATTAGTTTCTTTTGTATAAAATTTTTTTACTGTATCAATTTTAAACGAGCAATCTGTTTTCACTGTTATAATTATTAGATAATTTATTTTGTGAATATGTATATTGTATTTGTTTTAATATGAAAATTTATTTTCTAGCTCTGCCAGCAATCGTATTATTCATGCTAAGGATCATGCTTCAATTCAAATCAATATTGCTGAAGTAAGAAAATATTTCATTGATAAATTTAATTTTTTCATATCTGTTAACATCTAAAACGTAATGTGTGCTGTTTTACATGCATATAAATATATGTATCAATTAGGAATTTTTTTTAAAATTGTTGCCCAATTCAAAAAAAAAAAATTTCAAAAATGAAGAAAAGGTGTTAGCTTTATAGAATTAGTTTTTAAAATTTTTTTTATCATTAATAGCATTATACTGAATTGTTATCAAAGAAACTACTTTAATTAAGCTTTTTAATCTTATAAATTAGTTCAATTTGGGGTGTATTATTTGTGTGTGACCTTTTACAAAAACTATTAATTTGTAAATAACGAAATATTTATATAAGATTCGGAAGTATTTAAGAGAACTGAATAATTTCATTTTGTATTTTGTTATATAAATATAAGTACTGCATCAAGCTATGTAAATAACAGTTCTGTTTTTTTTTTATAAATAAATACTTTTATTCACAAACAATAACAAATGTGAAGTACCCGTAAAAAACCTGTAAAATATTGTCACATGCTACTAATTTTGGATTTTATTTCAGTCATTTATAAATTTTTTTGCTGGGAAAATGTTTTTCTAAGTGGCAATTTTACATTAAAATTTTTTTAGCTGTTTTTTAATGCAAAAAATTTTTTACCACAAATTTTCTTCAGACCTTGTGCTTATAATGGCAGACAATCTGGATTGGCAAATACAATAAAACTCAATGAATTGTTTTTCAATTTGATTACCATACAATATTTTCATAATTTTTAGCTGGATTTCTAATTTTTTATTGGCATACAATATTTTAAAAAAAAAAAGCTCTATTTTTAAGAAGTTAATGTTTTTTTTAGACTTTTTTCTTGTCAATATTACAATTGCATATTGTATATTTTAGGTAGATGAGGCTACTGGCAGGTTCACAGGAAGTTCTGTACCATATGCGATCTGCGGAGAAATAAGACGAATGGTATTACTTTTTTACAATTAATAATTTTTAAGACAAAAACAAACGTTACTTAAGTTTAGACATTAATATTCATTAATAATTCGATTGTAATAATTGTTTCATATGTAGTTTAATATAATGACTGTAGTTTTAGATGACGTATAAGGATTAAGGAGCATTTCAAAAACGTGCAAGGAAACTTTTTTGAAATGCAGTAAATATTGTGTTTTATATTAATTGGATTTTAAAATCCAATATCGTAATTAATATTCTCATGATTTTAAAATTCAATGTTGCGATTCATATTCTAGCAATTTTAAAATCTTATAAGCGCAATTTTTGTAAGACGTCAGTTTTTTCTTGAATTAGTTACTATAAAGGTTTTATATTTTTCATTAATAAGTAATTAATAACACAGGGTGCTTAGTGTTTTTAAAAAGTGCTTAAAGGTGCTTATTTTTGATTTTCGTTTTTTAAAAGCCCTTAAAAGTGCTTTTTTCAATGGATGTTTCTAAGAAGTGCTTAATTTTCCCTTTTTCGAATTATGATATTTTTCTTTACCATGTTGATTTTCGTCACAAATTATGCAAAAAGACATTGCCCTATTCAACGTTTTCACAATTCAAACCCAATCTATTTCGGTCTGTAGTGTATGAAAGCCCTATTTAGGAAATACTTGCGGGTTTGCAGTTGCGTATACTGAGCTGGATTCAGTGGTAAGGATTTTTAACTCTCATGTGCAACCCTGCTGCATTTTGCAAGAGATTCTCAATTTCAGACTTCATTTTCTGCCCTCTGTAATTAGAATCGAGAAATCTCATTTTCTGCCCTCTGTAATAGAATCGAAAAATTTCTCGAATTTTTGCTGATTATGGGGGACCAACTAAACATAGTAAATTTTTTTTTCTCTATTAGTGATAGAAAATTTCATTTCTCTTGTTAATTTCATTGTTTTGTGACATGCCATCGTCTTCGTCACTGTAAATAAAACCATCAATAGTTATGATATTTTTCAAGGTGCTTAAAAGTGCTACGCGCTCTGTTAAATGTGTTAGTTCAAAAAATTATGTTAATATGAAGCAGGTATGAAATATAAATTGACATCTGGATTTTGATTCTTTGCATGTGAAATTTTCAGAACTTTTTACTTCAGACTGTCACAATTACCCCTGATTGCCTTATGCTTTGTTTTCCTATTTTTGTTTTTATTAAGTTGGCAGCTATGTTTTTGATATGCAGTAGAATATATGATTTGTATGAACAATTACTAAAAACAGTAATGCGTGTATTGATGTTTTTTTTACTTATGTTAGTAAGGTAAATTATTTATTTCACTATTTGTACCATGTGTGCTAAATGCCTGAATTCAAATGGTTTGATTTTTCAAGTGAAAATTTTACTTTTACAGGGTGAAAGTGATGACTGCATTGCCCGATTAGCAAAGAAAGATGCTATTATAGCTAAGTAAGTGTAATTGGTTTCAACATCCAGACTTGCATCTTTTTACATTTGTGTGTTATGTATATGTGATTTATAAGGTTCTATGTTTTTAGCATGATAGACTTTCAAACATCTATTTTCTTCTTTTTTCTGATTTTTTAAAAAAAATTAATATGTTGTTGAAATTTCTCATTTTCCAATTTTAATATTTATATCAGACCTACCTTGTATATTTTTGTGTTTCTTAGCACTTTTTTTGACAAAGTTAATAAAATTGGAGATGATTATTAAATGGTTTTTAATTATTACATGTTGAATTTAGATGTCTAGTGTTTAGTTTTTAAAGATACTTTGTCATAAAATCCCAATATTTAAAGCTATTGCTCTATTAAATATCTAATAACCTTTTCAGCTTGGGTATTATTAAAAAAGCTAGGTTTTGATGCAAATAAGATATTTGTGATACATATTTTTAGGTTTTTATAGATGTAACTATACGCTAGAAATTATAAACATTAAAATTTTAGTTTCACTTGTTTATTAATATTTTTAATTTTAAAGGTAAATATTACTTACAACTTTTCACATTGTTTATGGGCCACTTTCTGGGTATTTTGTACTTTTTTATGAACCAAATATAAAAATTTTTTATCTGTACCAAATAAAAATTTTTTTTTTTTGTATTTTCCCTCATTTATAATTTTTTTTGGTATGCATATTTTTAATACTCAAAAGATTATTTGAAACAGTTTTCTGTAATTAATATTTTTTTTAAACAAAATGATTGAAATTTTGCTTAAAAAAAGTGGTTTTGTTTTTAATAAATTTTTTTTTTATAGAAATAAGAAAAAAATGTAAGCAAAGATAATGCAGAGAGATTATTACAGCTAAAAAAATTGTGTGTTTTTAAGCGTTTTGCGTATTATCCATGAATTTGCTTGTCCGCGCTGCGTGGGCCAACCAATTCAGTTTATAATTGTAAGTTTACTGTATTTGGTTCAAAATTTTTTTTTTAATACAAAGGTTTTTGAAGGAATAATGGCTTACTCGATACTCAAATTGCTTAAAGTTTCTAAGTAATATTTTAAATTGTTCTAAAATTTCTATTTTATTTGAAAAAGTTTACTGTAGTATTTTCTATTTAGTGCAAGATTGTTTTCCTTAAACAATTATTTTTTTTCTAAATGTGCTATATAAAAATATCTGCTATGACAAATTTTCATCATCCTGCAAATAGTATTTTTTACTACAATTTGGTCTTAACTAATGAAAATTTTAAATTTTTGAAAATGTTTGTTAATTAAATGTTTTTTATTTTTCAGGAACTACTGAAAAAAGATGTCAAGACCTTTTGTTTGTATTATAAAATAAAATGTTTTGTCATTATGCATTTGCCTTATTTTCTATTTTATCTATACAAATGTGTATTCCAATTGCATGCAAATACATATTTTTGACAAAGATCTTCAAGCATGATTTTGATAGTGAGAGATCATAGAAACACAGATGTTCATTTCAATCATTTAACTAATTTGACGAAAATTTCTTTCGCGTGAAGTATATATTAGATATACATTTTAAATGCGTACCATTTTTGAAACGATGTATTACAACAGTGCAACTATTTTTGTCACATTAGGTAAGACAGTATTTGATTGCCAATTTTTGTTTTTATGTTTTTTTTGTGCCTGCTTCAAATTAAATAACCATTTGCATTAAGTTATTAAAGATTGTTTTGCCACTAAGCAGCATTAAATCAACATTGGATGAAATTTTATTGCAATACCATCAATCACTAATTTCAGATAAGTTTATATTTTCTGAAAACGTAGCATCTTCCCTATCATTTTATTTTTAATGTATATTAATATTTCAGTTTCTTACTTTAGTAGCATCGATTCTTCGGGTGTTTTATATTAATGTGAATAGTATAATTGTTATATTTATAAAAAATGTTACTTTAATGGTAACTAACTTGAAACTTGTTATTACGTTTTTTTGGTTTGCTTCTTAACATTTAAAAATGAGTAATATAATATAATTTCTAAATAGTAGTTATACTTTTTTTAAGAAAGTTCTGTAAAATAAGGGGTATTCCTCGAATATTTTGTACTTTTAAATAAGATTTACAAATGGCTCCTATATAAGTATGCTTTCTTTACTTTTTCACATCACATTTTGGTGCAATGATAATTGTATAATTTCATTTGTTATCTGTAATTATAGTTTTTCCTTATTTTAATTTTTCTTTAGTTTTTCTTATATAAAATAAAATTTGATATAAAATAAAGTTCTCTGTAATTATATTATGTAATTAAATATAATTTTGCCATTAAAATTTTTATATAATTACGTATAATAACCTTGGTATTAAAAGTTCGCAAGGGTGGTGCTAAATTTTGCCCGCAAATTACAAGTTCGCAAGGGTGGTGCTACATTTTGCCCGNTAGTTTTTCTTATATAAAATAAAATTTGATATAAAATAAAGTTCTCTGTAATTATATTATGTAATTAAATATAATTTTGCCATTAAAAATTTTATATAATTACGTATAATAACCTTAGTATTTGGTGCCAATTACAAGTTCGCAAGGGTGGTGCTACATTTTGCCCGGCAGGGGGTCAAACAAATGAATTCGAAATATTTAAACTAAAACTTATTTTATTCTTCATACTTGGTCACACATTTTTTTTCAGAAGTGTCTTTCTAAGAAGTAAAAGTCAATAATTATGTTACCATAATGTACAGTTTCATTTTATCTATCCTTGTTATTCTATCCGTCCTTTTTATCTATAATTTTGGTTAACAAATTTTAAAACTACTTTTTTTTAAAAAATTTTATTTTATAAAAATTAGATTCCTCAGAAACTGACTGTTTTCGCTCAAATTTTGAATGAATTCTAAAATTGTACGTAAAAAGTGTTCAATTTGCTTAACAAAATTTCAAAAAATACAAAAAAAGTAAAGCTAACATTAAGGGGTCCAAACTTTGGATTGCACTTCAGACCAAAAATATTAGGACCATATTTCCCAGATTGCAGTTACCCGGATATTGAGGCAGTCAGGAATCCGAATTCACGAAGAAGAAAAAGTTTAATCGGAGAAAATACGTTTTTGGTCTGCTGTTAGCAACATTTTAAAATCAAGATTCTAAATGCTACCCGACTACAAATTATTGTCATCGAACAATAATATGTAGCTGAAAAAGTGCCGATTTATGCATTAATTTTTTTTTAATAATAAAAGTTAAAACTGAAAATTTTAAAGTAAAGTATTTATAGCATCATTTACGACAACGAGTAAAATATTTTTATTAGTTTAAATGGTATTTAATTTAGTATTTTGACCAATAAAATTTTTTTAAACTAAGGTTTTGAAAGGAAATATGTTAATTGCATGAAGTTTGAAAGCTAATACTAAGAAAAAGTCAAACTTATTTTTGCAGAGAGAATGATACTAAGTTTTCATAATATCTTTGCTTGCAATCTCCGAGATCTGTGTGCAGCGTGACGTCATGAGGAAAATCGTAGCTTCAGTTCTAAGAGCTGAATGAACTAACCCTTCTTTCTTTTTAGCCCTGTCCCTGAAAAGGCCGCAAAAAACCTAACCACAGCCTATAGTAGGTATCTTTGTTAGTAATGTTGGATTTTTAAATTGCACTTATTGCCGTAAGAATTAATACCAATAGTATCTAATATCAAAATTGTCTTTGTCAATTGGGTATAATATAAAAAAAACACAACTACTTCCACTTAGTAGGAATAACATTTACCGTGACGCAATGCTAAATCCTATGCCACTATCCACATAAATCAATTATTAATCAAAAATCGATTATCAATTACTTTTCTTTATAGTGCAATAAAATCTGGCGAGCAGCTATTTAAACGATCAAACACTTCGTTTGTTTATTTGTGGCTTGACGTTAGGCTCGCAGAAAATACCGTTCATGGGTAAAATTTAGTAGGAACAGCACAACCTGTGACGTAGGCTATAGTATACCCAATTGGCGATCGAAATGAGCTGCAGGTGGCGTAGAGCAGAACTATGGCAACACTTCACATGCTTTCCCCATTAACGTGTAGAGGGTCATAGAGGAAAGAAGTACGTTAGTTTCTTGATTTTCATATAGATTAAAATCTTTTATGTTGGAAAACAATATGGAACTGAAAACTACATTAAACATAGTTCCAAAGAAAGGCATCACGAAAAATTTGAAAAATATTAAGAAAAGATGAAAATATCGTAGTACATTCCTATGGATGGTGTTTTCTACACTAGGGAACGCTGCAAGCTCGGTACCGCCTAAATTTCCGGGTTACTGCTTCCGTTGTATTTTAAAGCCATTTGGCATTGTTGTGTTTCGAGATTCTTGTAAACAATGTATTTGATTACTTATTACTTGTGTTTACAATGCTAAAAGTGTTAATACTAACGTAAGATGGCGCACAGCTTGCAACAAGAACAAACAGTAATAAACTTATGGAAAGAGGCCAAATCAAGACTGCCAAAAAAGCGAGTTATTCAAAGTCTAGCAACCATGTCACCTTCTTTAATAGAATATAACTAAAACAAATTTTCACTCCAAACTCCCCAGAATTACATAATAACATTAATATCTTATGAAATACAGCAGATTTGAGCTCAGAAATTACCTAATTTTTTTCTTTTATTGAAAACAAAGTTATCCGTTTGAAAACATCGTCTATCAGAATAACATGTAGTAAGCAGCTGCAAACTTTTTAACCGGAACTAGAGTAGGTGCCGAGCTCGAGATTGTTATTGTTTACATTTCTACTGAAAACATCATCCATACAACTGAAAAGAGGAGGAGAGGGAAGGGAGAAGGGCCAAAGGCATGAAACCGGTCTCTCCCCAGATGGCGTATTCGAGCGTTGCGATCGCCAATAATAGTCCGGCAATTTTTTTCGGTTCTTTTAAGAACATAAATTTTTTATTGAAGTTGTTATTATTAGTTTCAATGAAATACGTTTTAAAAGCATAATATGTTAGAAGCATTACTACTGCGATGTAGTTTTTTCCTTGAATTACGTGTCAAAACGAATAAATGTTAAAAACATTTTTTAAAATTAAATGAAGCTGTAAGCTGTCAAACATGTTTTATGTTATTTGATTGGTCTATTTAATTCAAATCAATGACAAATGATTGTCTAATGGATGGATGGTGTTTTCAATATAAATGTAAACAATAACAACCTCGAGCTTCTTACCTGCTCTAGTTCCGGTTCGAAAGTTTGCAGCTGCTCACTTCAGCTTATTCTGCGAGGCGATATTTTCAAACGGATAATTTTGTTTTCAATAAAAGAAATAAATTAGATAATTTCTGAGCTCAAATCTGCAGTATTTCATAGGATATTTATGTTATTAAATAATTCTGGTGAGTTTGAAGTGATAATTTGTTAAAAAAGGTGACATGGTTGCTAGATATTGAAAAAGTTGCTTTTTTGGCAGTCCTGATTTGGCCTCTTTCCATTTGTTTATTACTGTTTGTTGTTGCAAGCTGCAGTGTTAGCATATTGTTCGAGGAGCAAGATTAAGTTTACAAATTTTAATTCAGGTTTAAATTTGAAATTTGGCATACAGGGCCCGGGCACAGAAATGTTTTGGGACCTTATAACAGGACATACTGCTTAAAATTGAACTAAAAAACTTCACATTATCCTTGCTGGAATGAAGATGGACATACATGCGCAAACTCTTCCATTTTTTCTTAATTAAATTACTATTCGGATATTATGTAACTAAGGGCTGGGAAGTGGGGTCATTGCCCGGTATGTATCTACCTTTCATTCCTTGCAATTCTTATTTTGTAAGGATATGTACTATTACTATAGTATTAGTAAGATTAGTCAATCACGTGTCACAGCCCGGTTCTTGATGAAAAAACGTTACGCTGTGCACAGAATATTACCTAAGAGCTCCACACTTCGATTTTATCATGGTTGTATAATAAGAAAAATATCCAAATCTAATATCTAAAGTAATAATAGCCCATTAAGTAGCTCTAGTGCGACGTAAATGAAGTACCTACCTACCTATCTAAAGTAATAATATCCAATTATTTATTTATCCGATTATTTAGCTATTTCCATTATTTTATATTCCGTAATGTTAAATGATTTTGATCACTTATATGCTTTTAATATTTTTTGCACCATCAATCGGTCGTCTTGAATGCTATTCTAATATTCCTCCTTTAATATCCCCGGAGTAATTGACCAATTCAATTATTTGCATAATCTTGCTCTTCAATGTTGTTTTTGGATTCTCTTTTACCTTTTTTGTAGTTATTACAAATTAAATGTGAAGGCTCAGCCAATGAGGTGAGATCGGGTTCGATCCCGGCGATGGCTGGTCGATACGAATTCCGCATCCGGCTTGCACCAACCACAGTGCTGACGAGAAATATCCTCAGTGGTAGACGGATCATGGGTTAGAGTTCCCTTGCCGTCAGGCTAACCGTGGGACGTTCTTGTGGTCTTCCTCTCCATGTAACGCAAATGCGGGTTAGTTCCATCAAAAAGTCCTCAGCGAAGGCAAATTTCTCCCAATACTCGNTATATGAATAAGTTAACTTTTCTAAAAATAATAGATGTATAATTTTGTGCTAAATATATTTGATGAGCTTAGTGACGATGTATATATATATATATATATACACACTGGTTGGGTGAAACTGTAGAATGGTGAGTATTTAAAGAGGAAACAAGTACTTAAAGCAATGCTGCACAAAAGCAGCTTACAGCACTGCGCCTCCCGTCATTACATTAAGTAATTCCAAAATATAGACCAGCACTTGTTTTGCGGTTATTTTATATTAAATTAAACCCGCATTTGTTTGATCAGAAGCAAAGGGTGTGGTCCTTGAAGTTAGTTTTCAAAGATAGGATGTGCACTCTAACATTGATGATCGTATTAAAATTATCAAATATTTAAGAATATTCGGTGGATTTGGACTTTCAAGTTACGATCATATTTGTCCTTGTCATGAAATATCGAAAATGACAGTTTGAGTTCGTATCGAAAAATACATCGATTTTATATAGTAATAGTACATTATTTGCGTCGCACTAGAACTGTCCTATAGACCTTTAGTGACGGTTTGCGAAGGATTATTCGAATACATGCTCTCACAGTTTTCCTCAGCAGAGGAAATGCATCCCCCACTTTGATAGCCCGACAACCTACACTCGAAGTCCACCACTTTAAAGTGGAGGACAGATATCTTAACGAGGACAGATATGTCGCATCCTTGGTCCCTTGGCAGGTTGAACAAAGTGGTCAGCTACCCCCTTACTGATGGCAGCCATTGGTACTTGACTTCTGTGATCTGTTGGGAAATGTGTCTTAAAAGGCCTGGTTTCTTAAGCCAAGCGCCTGTGCGTCAGCGGGAAGTTGACGTACCCCGACGCCATCAAAATACTGTTTTAAAGCTCAGCGTGAGCAGTCGTTTCAACTCAGGCATTATCTTGCATTGTGCATGCGTTAATGACGTAAACAAATTTTAATTTTGATTTTGTAGTTTATTCCTATAACTTTATGTGTTATTGTCGACCAGTGCTTTAGAGGAAAAAAAATGACATTTCAATCTGTAACCACAGATTGTTTTTTAAGCACTGAATCTTTGCAAGATTTTATATTATACAAATTAGGTCATTTTTAATTTCAGAGATTAATTTCTCCTCGAAATCAAAATCTTGGCCGATTTCAATGCTTTGTGTGCTGTTGTCCGCCATTGCTTCTGTCGTTAACATTACGTTGTAATCCAACTGCAGTTGATTCGGACGGCAGTTGCGTTCAAGCTGAGCGTTCGATGACGTATGCTGTCCAACTCACAAATTGACCAATCAGAGGTTAGCGCTCGCTTCAAGCTGACGTTTTGCAACGCCGACCTGTCCTAAGAAACCAGACCTTTACGATCAGTTCAATGTGGGAGGAATGATTTTAAGGAAGCACCTTAATCATTAATGTATCGAAAACTTGAAATTTGCTGGAAATGCAATACTTCTTTAGATTTTTTTTAATTATAAATCTATTTTTACGATAGCGTTTTTGTGAAAGGTAGAAGGTTATGTGTGCAATGTGGCTATTGGCGACGGTCTGGGAATCACCCCTGAAGATGATCCGAAGACATGCCATCACGATTTTGATCCTCTACAGAGAGCATGACTTCCCTGTTTTGGTAGGTCCCGCAGTGGACTGATCGTTAAGACACGGTTCCCAGCAGATCACCGAAGTCAAGTATCACTGGCTGCGGTCAGTGTGCGGGTGGGTGACCACTTGGATCAGTCTGCGTAGGGACCGAGGGTGTGCGGTATTGGTCCTCGTTAAACTGTGCTACCGTAAAGTGCTCGACTTCGCGCTCAGGTCGTCAGGCTACCGAAGCGGGGGTGCCATTCCCTCCGCAGAGGATCAAAATTGTGATGGCGTGTCTTCGGATCATCCTCCAGGATGTTTCCCAAACCGTCGCCAATAGCCCATTGTGCAGCTCTAGTGTGACGTAAATTAACAACAACAACAACAACCCTGTTTTGGTAGATCGATGCGATCAAAGTTTTCACGCACAAGCTCACTGACCACAACCCGTTATGCTTGACTTCGGTATTCAGTGGGGACTGTGTTTTACGATCAGGCCACCGAGGGACGTAATGAGCACACAAGTTTGCATAGTCCTCTTCAGCAATAAAAAATTCTTCAATCCTGGGACCAAACTCCAATCCCTCTACAGTCCCGCAGTGGGCTGATTGTAAAGACACGATTCCCATAAGAACACTGAAGTCAAGCATCACTGGCTGCGGTCGGAGAGCAAGTGGTGACCACTTTTTTCACCCTACCTAGGTACCGATTGTGCGCTGTATCTGTCCTTGTTAAGCTGTTCTACCGTAAAGTACTTGAGTTTGCTAGCAGGTTATCGGACTACCAAAGCGAAGGAGCCATCCCCTCAGCAGGGGGATCAAAATTGCGTTGTCATGTCTTCGGACTTCGGATCATCCTCGGGAATGTTTCCCAGAACGTCGCCAATAGCCCATTCTGCAGATCTAGTGTGATGTGAATAAAATACCTACCTAGCAATCCCTCTACAAAGGCCACAAATCGTCTCTGACTCTTTACAGCAACTTTCTTCTATTATCTAGCCTGTGCTACCGTAAAGTGTTCGACTTCGCGCGCAGGTCGTCGGGCTTCCGAAGCGGGGGTGCCATCCCCTCCGCAGAGGATCAAAATTGTGATGGCATGTCTTCGGATCATCCTCCGGGATGTTTCCCGTCCCGCAGTGGACTGATCGTTAAGACACGGTTCCCAGCAGATCACCGAAGTCAAGCATCACTGGCTACGGTCAGTGTGCGGGTGGGTGACCACTTGGATCAGTCTGCGTAGGGACCGAGGGTGTGCGGTATTGGTCCTCGTTAAACTGTGCTACCGTAAAGTGCTCGACTTCGCGCGCAGGTCGTCGGGCTACCGAAGCGGGGGTGCCATCCCCTCCGCAGAGGATCAAAATTGTGATGGCATGTCTTCGGATCATCCTCAGGGATGTTTCCCAGACCGTCGCCAATAGCCCATTGTGCAGCTCTAGTGCGATGTAATTTAACAACAACAACATCTATTATCTAGCATCAACCATAAGCTTTATTAATGGAAATACAGAGCTATTGGCTAACAAGACTGCTCGTCGCACTTTTCTACAATCTACAATAAAAAGCCAAGCGGTATCACCCTCCGAACGCTGTGCGAAGGTTGGAGGTGGCGGGTTTGAAACCCGTCGTAAACCTGCATGTATTCTGCGTGATGTCCTTCTCTGAGTTGTTCTATCTGTCCTTTAACTTGACAAAGGCTTATAAGTCTAAAAATGAGCACACAAGTCTGTAAATGTATGTAATTCCAGTAAAGCAATAAAAAAAATTAATTACAAACACTAGTGAGTCCTAACTATTTAGTATGCACCTTGGGTACCACCGATTTTAAAGCTTGTTTTCGTTAATTTCAGAAATCAATTATTTTAATTATTTTTTTTTAGTGCTGAATGCAATGTTGGTAGATAGAAATGATGAATCGTTTAGCTTATAATTTTGAATATTTGGTAGCAAAATAAATTTTTTCAATAAATGTTTCTTTTGTTTGGATAAATTTCTGTCCATTAATTCAAAGTACACAAAAAAAATGGAAAACAATAGTCGTTTTTTCTGTTGCTGTTCTTTAAGAAAAGGACTTATTTATACTACACGGTTTGTTTTAGTAAGTATTTTATTTAAAGCATATTACTCTATACTTCATAAATTTCTAAAATTGTGGCTTAAAACATATAAGTGTTTAAATATAAAAACATTTTTGATGTGAAACAATAAGCTAAGTTGGAGAAAAAATTCAACAGAATTCTAAATTAATGAAAAATATCACAGGTTCTGTTGTAATATCGCAGATAGATAAAAATATTTAAGGCAAATTTCAAAATATTAACATTACTCTTTGCATTACTTAAGTTTTAGAATGTTACTTTTAATATTTGTCAGAGATTTTGTGTGTAAATTATAATTCTAAGTTTTTACAATTCTAAGCTCTTCTTGGTTTATATGATTGAAGTCTGGACATAATACAGATGCCGATGCCGTATAATAACATGCTTGTTTGTGATTTTATGGAAACACAAACACAGTTTGATTCATTCATTTGATCTTGATTTACAGATTTTTATTCTATATTTGATGAGTTTTCAAAATGTTTGCTTGAAAGCACAAATATTTAAATATCAAACCATTTTCAATTTGGAATATATAGATATTAATATAGGCATTTATATAGATATATAGTTGTATAGACTTATATAGATATATATAGTTTGGGAAGTGGTAAAAAAAGTCTTCCAAAATTCCAAGTTTATGAAAAATATGTCTTAGTCTCAATTGCAATATAGCAGATAAAAATATTAAAAGTGCATTTCAGAATATTAGCATCAAATCTTGCCTTACTTAATGTTATTTTTCATATTTATTGGAAATTTTACATGGAACTTACAGGTTTTGCGAATCGAATTTCCTTTTTTTATTGTTCTTTTGACATGATTGGATCTAACCATAAATTTAACATGTTACCTATTGATCTTCTGAAAACATATTTTGGTTAACTTACTTGATTAAGATTAAACTTGTTCCTATTGCATCATTTACAATTTTGAGTTTTAAACTCCCATTTCTTTAGTATAAAAACTCGTTAAATAGTTTTTGCCAAAGAGTTTATTTAGTAATAGTGTGGAAAGTGACATTTTTTGTTATCCAATTTTGTATTTATTAATTTAATTGCATTTGTTAACTGGGCATTTACATACAAAGCTTATTATTACATTAAATGTAGCTTATTTGTTGTTTATTAATTATATGTGTTATTGAGCTAAAGACCGTTATATTTATTAATGAGTAAACATAACTGATTCCTCTAAGTAATGACGGAGTAGCATTATGGGGGAAAGTTGAATTAAGTCTCTGAAAGTTGTTTGTAATAAGCTGTTTTATTTGAAAAAAAATTGTTTTTTGAAATTTTTTATAAAATGTTTCAGATTTTTACCAGTTTCTCAAGTGCTCTGTCTATCATGGCGTTTTTTCGTCTAGCTTCTGATGGAAGTCGTAAGTTTAGTTTAAAAGTTTAATGATTTGTTTAAATTATATATATATATATATATATATATTGACACAGTCCCGCAGTGGACTGATCGTTAAGACACGGTTCTCATTAGATCACCGAAGTCAAGCATCACTGGCTGCGGTCAGTGTGCGGGTGGGTGACCCACTTGGATCAGTCTGCGTAGGGACCGAGGGTGTGCGGTATTGGTCCTCGTTAAACTGTGCTACTGTAAAGTGCTCGACTTCGCGCGCAGGTCGTCGGGCTACCGGAGCGGGGGTGCCATCCCCTCCGCAGAGGATCAAAATTGTGATGGCATGTCTTCGGATCATCTTCCGGGATGTTTCCCAGACCGTCGCCAATAGCCCATTGTGCAGCTCTAGTGCGACGTAAATTAACAACAACAACAACAACAATATTGACACAAAATCGTTGTGCTCCTCAATAGGAGTTAGGGAAAATCTCAAAAAGTAAATCCGTAAAATGTTTCGTTTCTGGGAATAAGGAAAATCTTAGTAATTATAATTGATCTGCTAAGTAGGTTTAGGGAAATTTAGCTTTCTCACTTTTAGTTACAGGGATAAACGTTAGATGGTTAATTAATGCATATTTGAACTAAAAATAGATTTAAAGACAGGATGTTATTATTAAAGTGTGAGTTTTGTTTTGAATAATAAATTAAGAAAAAGAATCAGATAAATTAATAACAGAAATTATTAGTTTTGATTATTACTTGTTAGATTTTAAGAAAAATGTTCAAATTACTTTTTAGATAAGCAACAAATGTTATAAAAGCGTTTAAAAAGACCCAGTAATATTTTTATTTAGTTTCTAAAAGTTTGAAACATAAATTTTTTTTTATAGCCACTATTGATGTATACAGGGTGGTCCCGAATTCATAGTACAAACTTCAATGGTAGGTACAGGACATTGTAACAATGATTTATTGTATAGGAATGTATAGTCGCAAGTGACGTGGTGAGGCGTAAACTGGAGAAATAACGGCCGAAAGGAAAAACAAAGATTTTATTGAAAGCGTTGTTGACAAGTGTCATGTTTACAGTAAGTGTTCAAAATTGCGTCCACCAGAATCGATACATGCTTGACAACGTCGGTGGAGCCATTGGCGTACACGTTCAAAGATGCCTGGTATTTCACGCACACCTGCAGCAGCTACAGATATGCGAGCGACGAGATCCTCATCTGAGTCAACTGGAGTCTCATAAACAAGATGCTTTAGATGTCCCCATAAAAAGTAATCGAGGCTCGATAAATCGGGAGATCGGGGTGGCCAAGGGATTGGTTCACCACGCCCAATCCATCGAGCACCAAACTGCACACTACTGCCCTCTACCGGCAATGATACCAACCGATCACTCCATTTCTCTTTCCTTTTCTTTCCCCTGTTCACGCCTCACCGCGTCACTTGCGACTATACATTCCTATACAATAAATCATTGTTACAATGTCCTGTACCTACCATTAAAGTTTGTACCATGAATTCGGGACCACCCTGTATAATTTAAATAGTACTCATCCGAAACATACTTGGTAGGTTTTGTAGCATAAAGAAAAATATTTCATATTTTGAATTAATTTATACATTCGTATTTGCTTCGAACCTGTCATGTAAATGAATTAATTAAAAAAAATGCTAATAAACTTGATTATTATTTATGAACGTATTTTCTTGAGTCACAAAATCATTAACTTAACCTGTTGCTTACGGCACTTAGCATGATAAGGCCAATCTGGTATAGCAGTAAAAAAAGGGTTAATATAATTTTTGTTTCAGCAGTACAAAAAGGGTTAATATAATTTTTTTTGACTGAAATGTTTAATATAAATGCAGAACTTGGAATATTTAATGATTACGCAACTTGGATTTGGAACTATTTGTTATGTAAAAATAAGTCTGGAATATTATAATAGAAAAATGTTTTCAATTTGTTGGATTTTAAAACACCAATCTTCTTTAGAGAATTTTCTGTTGTTATAAATATCCTTTTTCGATAAATAAATTCCCTTAATTTAGAAAAAAAACAAACTAATCCATGCTCTTAAAAGAGATATGAAAACTTTAATCAAAAGCATATTTTGTGTAAATTCATCATGCAGTTAAAAAAACGAGATTGACAATTTTATTATGAAGTTATATATTTACACCTGAATTGATTGTGTGTTCTTAAAAATAAATGAAATTACTACGAAATATTTGTTGAAATTAAAATCTTGATGTTGGATTTTAAACTAATTTTTAAAAGTTTAATATCTCTTTTCACAGAAGTTCGGGTACTTTATTTCTTGATAGCGTGTTATTCAGTATTATACAGTGTCATTTGCCGAGGACTGATCAGAGGTGTCGAAGAGGTAATATTTTTTAAAAGTTCTTTTTGTGAAAGCATTGCTGTGAAATTTTATTTTAAAGCCGTCGTTGAACAGTCGACCCAATTTCGGGTTTACGGCTGCTCATGTTCTATTCCGTAGCCTTGTAATTTTGAACCTAATCCAGAAGACAAGGGAACTCCTGGATCAAGTATTGGGCAAAATTTACCTTTGATCATGATTTTTTAAGGGAAATAACCAGCATTCGCGTTACGTGGTGAGGAAAACCACGATGCTAGGCTAAGGCTAGGAGACTCAAACCCATGATCCGTCTACCACTTAGGATGTTTCATGTCAGCTTTGTGGTCGGTGCAAGCTGGATGTGGAATTCATATCGACCAGCCATCGCTGGAATTCGAACCTGGTTCACTTCATTTTAAGGCGAACGCTTCACCACCTGAGCCATCATGGCTCATTGCTGTGAAATTAAAATAAAAGTTTACAGTATTACGCAAAAATATACTAGTACTCAAAATTATGAGAATTTGTAGATTCTGCCAGTTTCGTACCGAGCCCGTCTAATTTAAGAAGACGCTATAGCGCGGGAGAAACCTTTCCTGGCAAATTCTATATCACCAAAGCAAGTAATTTAAAATAAAGAAAAAGTACTCTCTGATAAATCTAGAGTAAAACCATATGAACTTTCAAATGCAGTAAAAAATGTTTTTAAAATACCAAAATGCAAACAAATTATGACAGGATTATTCGGGATTATGCAATGGAGAAGTAANCTACGAAATATTTGTTGAAATTAAAATCTTGATGTTGGATTTTAAACTGATTTTTAAAAGTTTAATATCTCTTTTTACAGAAGTTCGGGTACTTTATTTCTTGATAGCTTGTTATTCAGTATTATACAGTGTCATTTGCCGGGGACTGATAAGAGGTGTCGAAGAGGTAATATTTTTTAAAAGTTCTTTTTGAGAAAACATTGCTGTGAAATTTTATTTTACAGCCGTAGTTAAATGGTCGACCCAATTTTGGGTTTACGATTACTCATGTTCTATTCCATAGCCGTACAATTTTGAACCTAATTCAGAAGACAAGGGAACTCCCGGATCAAGTACCTTCGATCATGACTTTTCGAGGGAATTAACCAGCATTCGCGTTACGTGGTGAGGAAAACCACGATACTAGGTTAAGGCTAAGAGACTCAAACCCGTGATCCGTCTACTGCTTAGGATATTTCATGTCAGCATTGTGGTCGGTGCAAGCTGGATGTGGAATTTATATATACCAGCCATCGCTGGGATTCGAGCCCGGTTCACTCCATTTTAAAGCGAACGCACCATCACCTGAGCCATCATGGCTCCTTGCAGTGAAATTAAAATGAAAGGTCACAGTATTACGCAAAAATATACTAGTACTCAAAATTACGAGAATTTGCAGATTTTGCCAGTTCTGTACAGAGCCCATCTAATTCAAGAAGACACTATAGGGCGGGAGAAACCTTTCCTGGTGAATTCTATATCACCGACATAACTAATTTAAAATAAAGACAAAGTACTCTCAGATAAATCTAGAGTAAAACCGTATGAACTTTCAAACGCTGTAAAAAATGTTTTTAAAATACCAAAATGCAAACAAATTATGACAGGATTATTCGGGATTATGCAATGGAGAAGTAATTTTAAAATAATTCATTTGCATTTTGATATTTTGAGACCATTTCTTCTGCGTTTGAGACTTTATGATTTACTATTAAGTTTAATTTAACTCACTATTTTCCTAAATTTCAGATTTTAAATTATCAATCGAAATATAGCGGAATCTTCCATGAAAAGTTTCTCCGCAACTAAACGTTCTCTTAAGAAGACGCAATACCACGGAAGAAACTTTTCATTGCAAATTCTGCATTCCCTCCATAACTAACTTAAAATTTAAGAGAAGGAAAAAGTTAGTTCAGGCAAACCTAGAGTTCGCTACGAAGTTTCAAATATTTAAATTTTTTTTTAAAAATATCAAAATGGAAACGAATTATTGAAAGAGAATTTCCTACATAATCCTAAGTTATCTTCTCGTAATTTGTTTTTCTTGTGTTATTTCGAAATTTTTTTTTTCAGTATTTGAGACTTCATGACTTACTCTAGATTTGCCTGAACTCATTTTTTCTGTACTTTAAATTTTTATTTACTATGGAAGTAAAAGAGAATTTGCGAGGAAAAGTTTCACACCTGGTATAGCCTCCTCTTAAACGAAATTCGAGGATCGCCACCATAGTTTGAGGATAGATACGAACAAGATACATACAAACAAAACAACCATTCAGAAGTTATAATACATACGCATGATGGTGCATAACACTAATCTGAGTCTCACGGTATAAAATAGTAGCTAAAAAATCGAAAAAAAAGATCAATCGAGGAAATGGTCTTTGTCCTATCTATTTTCAATGATATACATATTTTACACTATAATTCTCAATAAAGACAGTTTAGGTGTTCCTGTGACACTTGGTCCCTCGTATTCAGTAACGCTGTTTTCGAGCCTGATTGATAGCGGTAGGGGTAAAGATATGCAATAGCCCACCCGAGATCACCCTCCGAGACCAGGTCTTATAAAGTTTGGAGATCCAGTTGGCCGATCCATCTGGCGAATATTTTAACAACTCAGAAATTTGTCATTTAATTTGCCACTCTCAGAAATCAACGCCAGATGTGGACGCGTACTGTTGTCCATTTAACATGGTTTTTCGAAGATCTGTTGCCATGGAAAATAACAAAGTCACAGTTTAAGTACCTTGCAATTAAAGCAAGGCAATGATTTTAAACTATATATATCATCTTGCCGTTAAGAATTATATGGGCTTCAGGACGGACCAATAACTTAAATATTTTAAAAGTTATTAAAACATTTTTAAAAATGAACAATTTGGTGACATTTTCCCACCTAGAGGAAAATTATCAAAATGACTGCTTTATTCTCAGTTTTTGCAAATTCGTATGAGTTTTTAAATATTGAAAAATTAGATCACAAGCTCTTTTCATTTTTATAAAATTGTGGCTTTTCTCCATTTTGCCGTTTTGTGCCTTTTTCAGAATAAGCATAGACAGCGCTGGCTTTAGATAGGCTAAGATTCACCTAACAGTCATGAGTAACAGTTGCAAACTCAAATTAGTAATTTAATTGCATATTATTTGCATCATTTCATACGACGAAAAACAGCCTTAAAAGAAATAAAGACGAAGTGTACCCCTGAGTAAGCAAACACTACACTCCAGTCTTCAACCATAGAACATGCTTGGAGCACTATGGAAGCCCAAATCGTAACCGCCAACAGCCTTATCTACAACCATTCTAGGCCTGAAAGCAGTTTTTTAAAGAGTGGGGGCAAATTGCCATAGGAACATCTAAACTATCTTAATTCATGTCTGAAATCATGGTATTAGGTGTGTAATTCATTGAAAATGGACTGGGAGGGAAGTATACTTCTATTTTTTTGTTATCACTGCTTCATACCGCCCGACTTCGACGAGAGTTATGTACAATTATAATGCGTTTATATTATTACTGATTAACAGTCATTTTGTTTGCATTATAACAACCTATTTTAAATCCAAATTTCGACCTAAATTAAAAAAAAACAAACATTGATTCTGGAGATAATTGACGAATTCTGAACATTCTCTTTATTTGAATTACCTGTGTATGACTCAATTTTCCGCGGCTGTTTACTTCTGGAAACGGTGAGAAGTGAATTATTAAATAAATAGTTCTTCTTTCAGCACATAATTAGAAAACTAATTTAGGATTGAGTTGACCTATTTGCTTCATTTTTTTGAAGACTAAGCGTTATTACACTGAAGATTTTAATATTTAATTTAAATTTTTAGGAACGGTGCGATAAGGTTTTATTGTGGATTGGATTTACTGCTGTGACTATAGGATTACTAATGACCGGATCATTTTACGAATTTGCAAGTTGCTGGGCAAGTCAAATTCTAAGTATTCAACATATGATAATATTGCTAATTGGTATGGTTGTTATAAATTTGTTTTATTCGTTACAAGTAAAATATAGTTAACATATTTTTTTAAAAAAATTCTTATTCATTGTGTCTTACACAGTACCTTAATTTAAGTTTGTTAATTCTATTTTATCGAATCTATTCTTTTTCTGTTAAACAGGCTTATTACTATAATTCATTTTATAACCGTCGTTGAATAACAGATTCAAATTTGGGTTAAAGACTTTCAGTTTTCAATTCCGTAGCCTTGTAATTTGTAACCCAATCCAGAAGACAAGGGAACTCCTGGATCAAGTATTGGGCGAAATTTGCCTCCGTGGAGGACTTTCGATGGAACTAACCCGCATTTATGATATCCTCATTGTGTTGGAAATAACCCGCATTCCCCGGACACTGAGGGGAAAACCATGAAAACCACCCACGGTTAGCCTGATGGCACAGGGGTTCTAACCCAAGATCCGTTTACCACTGAAGATATTTTACATCAGAACCGTGGTCGGTGCGAGTCGGGTGAGGAATTCGTAACAACCAGCCATTGCTGGGATTCAAAAACGGTTTACCGCATTGGAAGGTGAATGCTCTATTCCCTGAGCCACCACGACTCAGGCTTATCTCTATATAAGATGCTCCGTAATCATTTCTCTTAATACATAGTTTAATAATCCTTGTCAAATATGATGTCAAAAAGAGAGCACATTCAAGCATCGCTGATTAATATTTTTGCTTGACGAAATAAAAACGTTATCAACATCTACCGAATCACGAGTGGGACAGGCGGAGTGAAAACTATCAAAACCAGTTCGGTTGCAATATGAAATTTGGTGCTGTTTTTAATAATCTCTCTTATTTATTACTACTTTATTTTGGATGAGTATACTTAATAAACCTAATTTTTGAGGAAGAGATGAAAAATATTCAGGTGATAATTTACGAAATAGCCAGTGTATTATAAATATCAAAATTTTAAAAATTTCATTTCTGACACACGTAAGTTGATAAAAAAATAATTTAATTCGCAATTTTTACATGAAAAATACATTAAACTATTTACAAAATTTAAGAATAAGTACTTTTTAATACGCTAAAGAGATGCCAGAAAAGCACGAGTAAACAGATTGTAACATTTTAAATTCATAAATATGGTTATATTCGTTCCTAAAAGGAAGTATTCTAATATTATTTGGTATTTATAAAGCTGCTAAACGGCTTTTTATGTAACAAATGCTATTTTGTGTAATTATTTTAAAGAAGCATTTTTAGGTTTGAAAAACAATAATAAATGTAAAGAAATGTGACCAAAACAGATATAAATACACGAAGTAAAACTACGTAAATTTTTTTCGAATAATTAACGAAAAATTCATATCTATTTAAATTTATAAGAAATTGGAAAGGGGAAAAATTATAAAAACTGGGTTAATTTAAATGCCATTTTTAAATTATTGTTATCGATATCAGTTCAAAGAAATTTAAATAAAAGGATAATTTGATTAATCTGTTCCAAATAGATACAAAAATATTGTATCTCTATTTGGAACAGAAATTATGCAATTAGTTATAAGCGATTGTTAGACGTAAAAACTGTTTTTTTTAATACTTTTCTTAACGTTTTTATACATTCGTCTTATATCACTTTTTTTACATGGATACATCATACAAGTAATGATTAAGATTTTTTCTCTTCTTTTGGTTGGATTGGAAGTTTTATAGCGATTTCCACTTTAGTTTTAGATCAATGTTAAAAGTACACGATAATATACAATGTAAATTTGTTCAGTAAAATTATTTTAAAAGATCACAGTGATTTATTTCATGTTTTGCCTTATTCAGTCCAACTTTGATGAGTTACCTTCAAAAACTTGGATGCTTTCATTTGCTACTGTTTTCTTACTCATGGCGTTTTTGCTAGTAAGTTTTTTCCTATGTTTGAAAGGATATTTTTAATTTCTTCTTGCGTGAACTTTTGTATAGTTTAACTAAAAATATTAACAATGCTTGCAACAAGTTTATTTAGTTACTTTCTCAATGTCATACTTCTGCATTTATTACAGGCATATTAGATCAGTTTCCGATATGGAACATTTGGAACATACTCCAAACTGTTCCGATGACGTTGTTCGAAAACAAACTGAAAAGTTTTAAGTAGTTATCATCTTAAGAGAAGAGTGGAGATATTCTTCCCTTCTTTTGTTATAAATAAATGATTTTGAGAAGAATTCAAATGTTTTGAAAACAAACTTTTTATAATAAAACAAAATATTTTCCAACGCTGCATTGACAGTATCTTTTTTATCAAAATAAAAATACGTTTAAAATATGCATTTGGAAATTGAGAATCTGATAGGTTCATTTAAATAAGAACAATTTTATTACATTCAGTAGGAATATTTCCTAAGTTCGTAAAGATCGTGAATTGTATTTCATTATTCTTTAAGATTTTAATTTTATTACATCAGATTAATTTTCCGAATTAAGAAGAATTATTTAAAACATTTATTTATGTGGAAATTATGAATTGAATCAATCGAAAAATCAACAATTAAAAATTAAAAAACGTTAACCACCAAACGAAAAACTTCTCAAAAGTTGAACATATGTAGAGCGGGCTCAAAAAGTTCCATGTCGTGGAACATATTCAATGGTTTAAAGGGAAGCAACTCTGTTAAACCTATTTAAAAGTTTAAATATTTCAAGGAGCTTATTTAAAATTACTAACCAGCAAAGTTTTATGATTTTATGTTGAGGTAAATTCAAATTATGTATATCCAAATTATATATTTTTTATGTATTCAAATTATATTTAAATATATGATTATTATGAAACATAAATTAACAGAATAACATAATTTTATGCCTATATCTTGTATAGGAATCAATTTCGAAAATAAGTGTAATTGGCTAAAAACTCAGGCGATGTTTTGCACAAATAGTTAGAAAAAATAAGACGATACTTTGTACAAATAGTTCGCTTAAGAGTATCACTATTTGGAACAACAAAGCAAGTGAATTTTAAAATAAAAAAAAAATCTTTATACCCAATTGACAAAATAAACTAAACTTAATACTAAAAAATTAAACTTAAAAACTATATAGCACTATACTATTAAAAATTATTCATTTTCATAGTTTAGTGATGACGTTAGCTCAATAATTTTATTAGTTGAATTAGATCTCTGAATAATAAAAGTTATACTAAATGCGAAAATTAGAATTGACTGTATTCTGTAAAAACGGAGGAATTTATCTATTAGCAAATAAGTTTTATTGTGTCTGATGAACGACGTGTGCTAAGGAAAAGATATATTTTCGTTTAATAGAATATGAACGTTTGCTTGACTTTTAACTTTAAGTAAAAGCACAGTATTTCTCCATAATTATTAGTTTATCATATTCGCCAGAAATCTCACAGGACTTTTTTTAATGCATCTAAGTTAGTGTACGATTTTTTTAACAATTATCTGACACATTCTAGCTGTAAAACTATTTGCAAGTTATTAATTTTGTTTTTATAATTTGCAGATGTATTTTACTTGGGGTGCTATATTATTCTGGACATATTTACATTCTAAAGAAAATCAAGGTGTGTATTGAAAATTTAAGGTTGCTCAAATGAAAAAGGGGACAATTGTGCTTGTATCAGAAATATAATAACAATAGTAGCCCCATTACTCAGGGATTTAATGAGAGGTAATAAGAGTGCCCACAGACTGCGTATGTAACGAGAAAGTTTGTACTTTCACATTGCATACCGCATTTTCACGTACGAAAAATTCGATGCCCGACACTTACGACTGATCAATCTCGGTACTTTACAGAGCTTGCGCAGAACGTTAACGCGTGGTATACTATGTAATAATGCAAATTAATTTTACTAATCTACAACCATACAATTTTTATTTACACTACTAAAAATTGTTTAACTATCAAATTAAATCAGATTTAATTGGATACCAGTAAGCTACGTCATGCGAATGTGCAGAATCTGAGACGAGTGAGTAGCTTCTGAATCGACAAATGCTCTGATTTACCCACGATGACGTCGCTTTCAGGTATTCAATTAACAAGTTTGGAAGTTAATCTAAATTTCATAATGTAAATAATAATGTAAATTCAGGCCATTTAAAGTAAATGTAGAATTGAGCTAAGAAAAGGATGCGTCGAGAACAGAATGTGCAATAGTATGATTTGCAATGGTAGAAGATGACTGTGTAATTTTTTTACTCATGTAATACAAAATGTTGCATAAATGTCATAAGTCCAATTTTTTGATTACCTTTTAATTCATCAGGACTTACATAGGATTCATTAATTGTTTGCATGTATCCAATTAGCAAGTTTAGAAGTTAATGTAAATTTCATAATGCAAATACAAATTTCATAATGCAAATGTAAGTTTCATAATGTAAGTGCAAATAATAATGTAAATGTAAATAATAATGTAAGTGTAAATAATTATGTAAATAATAATGTAAATAATAATGTAAATAATTATGTAAATAATAATGTAAATAATAATGTAAATAATAATGTAAATAATTATGTAAATAATTATGTAAATAATTATGTAAATAATTATGTAAATAATTACGTAAATAATTATGTAAATAATAATGTAAATAGTTATGTAAATAATTATGTAAATAATAATGTAAATAATTACGTAAATGTAAATAATAATAATGTAAATTCAAGTCATTTAAAGTTAATTTAATGTTGAGCTAAGAAGGATGCGCCCAGAACTGAGCAACATGAAATAGTATGATTTGTGGTGGTAGAAGGTGCTTGTGTAATTTTTTTTACTCGCGTAAGACAAAATGTTGCTCAGACGTCATAAGTAGCATTTTTTTTATTATCTCTTGATTCATCAAGTCAAGAGTAACAAAAGATTCATGGGAGATAGTGGTGCTTACTTGTGTTGCGTTCGAGTCGATTCGATGTCTGACCCTTCATTGAAACTTTTACACTATTTTTCCACAGCATTTTGTTCTTAGACATTGTTTGTTGTAATCAAAAGCTATATACTAATATGTTTGCTATATAAGCAATCATTTGATGATAAATGTTCTAGTTACGCTCACCTTCTTCCACTAAAAATTAGATTATTGCGTGTACTGGACTTAGCCATCTTAGCTCCACTTTATCACTTTTAGTACTCTCATGTTTTAGGTTATGCGTAATTTGAGGTTTCTTTCTTTTCACTTTTGTGTATAATTCTGAAAAGTAGTATCGCTATCGCTATTGTACTTCTGACTTTTCATTTAGGCAATCCTCATATTTACTAAAATGGCAACTTTTTAGAATGAAAAACATGCATGAAAAAATTGTTTTTAAAGACATGAAATCCTGATTTTAACGCATGTAAAATAAGACAAATATGAACTTCAAAAATATTGTAAAATATAAAGTTTTCTGATTTTTATTTAATTTTATTTGCAGGAGCAGTTTGAGTATTGTTTAATGTGATAGTGATGGAATTGGGTAATAACAGTTCTAAGTTCTCCGAAAGTTTCCCGATATTTTTTACGTACATTATCTGTATTTTTACTCATTCCGTTAACTTTTAAAGTTATATATTTTGTTCTAAAAGTAATTACTGACAAAAGCTAGATGAAACTGTATTTTAAAATTTCTATGAACTATAATGTATTTAAAAATTACTAGGTGTTCTTAAATATTAGAATAGTTCTAAGAACATTAGTTTTTTTTTACATTTTACTCGAACAACTTTATTTACTTTAACGCAAATGTTATGAGTTAAAATTAAAAATTAATTTTGATATAAAAAAAGGCATTATTTAATGCATAATTTAAAAAAAGTTAAAATGTTTATGTAAATATTAAAGAGCCAAAGCTAATTAAAAGGTATTTAAATGCTGATAACTTGTAATAATAATTGGAAAATTAATTTCGATTTTTATAAATGGTTATAATTAATGCAACATTTGAGAAAAGCTAAATTCGTTATAATAGTGTCTATGCTTTTAATGGTAACACGACTACGGTTTATAATTAAATACTATTTTGGCCGTAAAAATAGTCATGTATAATATATACCAAAAACAGAAAAGGAATAGTTCATATAACCAATATAAGATGCATTTTTACTTTAACTAACATTAATTGTTTGGTCGTTAATGAATTAATTCTGAAAACTTCGTAATATTTTGTAATAGGATTGAATAACTTAATTTACATAGACTTTTATAGGAATACTTAATCCTTCTATAGAAACATTCAATATTATATAATAGATTACTTTTCATTTGATCTTCAATAAGTTTATATAGAATATGAAGCAATAAAGGCAAATTGTTTCATAATTTCTAAAATGAAATGTGAAGCGTTTTTACTTGTTTATTCTTGTATGTAAGCTTTTAAAATGCTTAAAAATAAAAATTTTGTAATTTTATCTTGTCGTGTTTTTATTAATACGCTACATGCAGTTTCACTACACTTTATACTACTATCACATTTTAGATGAATGATGAATCAGCCACGAATTCGATTTAAAATGTTATGAATTCGATTTAAAATGTAATTTTTCGAAACTTCACACTATCTTACATAATTAAACAGCTGAGATGCTGAAAATTTGAAATGACATTTTAATGAATTATAATGGGAAACAATTTTATTTTTGTATTCCGTTGAATTCTTTTCAAATCGACAATCGGTTTCTCTCCCTAAACTACAGTTTCTTTAAAATGACAACTTAACTCTATTTTTTGTGGAAATGAACAAATAAAAAAGTATTCTATATAATAGGGAGTCGTATAAATGTCGCGACAGAGTTTTAAGGGAGTTCGGTCACATCATCATTAATCAAATTTTATAGCAATCCTTGCCCGACTATGGTATCATACGCTGCTAGGGGATCTTTCGTATTAAGAACTGTTTCTTCGTATGATTCTGAACAGATCATAATCGGAAAGCGCCACTAGCTGCGTGCGATGGCATTTCCGGATACGGGTTTCTATGCAATTGTAAGCCTGATGTGCTCTTACTTTCCTAGAAGTTTTTCGCAACATTTACACGATCCCCTGTTATATATATAACGTTTTTAAACTTGTTCATTTCTACAAAAAATAGACTAAATATGCCATTTAAAAAAATCTATATTTTCAGGACCCAAACAGATTTGAAATGTTCACATCTAAATTAGGTAGGATCACGTATTAGCATAAATGCAACAAAAAATTTGTTCCCCAGTGTTATTGCAGAATAAATTTAAACTTTATATGTCTATAAGAAATAAAGGTATCTTGTGCCTTTAGAGGTCCGCAAGATTTCAATTGGTGAAATCTAGGAATCCCTGTAAATTTATAAATTGTTTGACGTTTTAAAAGGTTACCTATGAGGCTTTCTAAAGTTACTCATAAATGCTTGCTATAAAATACAATTGGAACATGCCTCCCCTAAAAAAAAAAAAAAAAAAAAAAAAAAAAAAAAACCCATAAATNAAGAAAAAAAAAGAGATTGTTTTATAGCATCTTTAACCACTAAGATCTACAGAATTTTAAGACTTGGCAAAATAAAATGATGTTGTATAGTTAACAAAAGACTAAAATTTTTCCAGAAATTTCTTTAAAGTGTCGCTAGTATTTTTTTTGCACAAGCATTTTAATTAATATTTTTAAAGTCTGGCTTAAAATATCAAACATTCTTGTAAATTAATTAAATTTCTTGTTTAATGAATTAAATGCATTCGTTTAATTAGTTTTGTTCGTTCCAAAAGAGAAGATCTGTAATGCTTCCAAGCATTTAGACATGATCTTAGGATTCTATGTTAACACTCAACTTTGCGTAAAATGTTTGCCTTATTTTCTGAAAAATATAATCATTAGCTGATAATGTCAAAATAATACATAAATGAAACTAAATAAGTGTTTTGCATATCTTTAGAAATCAATTCTTTTTCAGGCTAATACAAAAAATATTTTTTTAATTAGTTCACAAACCATGAATGAAAAATTTGTTTAAATGAAAAAATAAATTGAAATCGTTTATTTAAGTGAATATTTGTTTTATAAGCTCATTACGAGAGTAATCAGAGCATGACTTTTCAAAAAATTAAGCAATTAATTAGATTCTAAACATAGACATCTCATAACTACTTTTTTAGTGAATTTCAAGGCTATTACAATTGAACAGGACAAAGTGTAATGATATTCCATCAACCTTTTAAACGATCCCTAGAAAATATCATTTTCTAAAATGTTACAAATGGTGAGAATAGAGGTAAGAATTTTAAAGTATTTTTATATTTTCATTTATTTTTTAAAATTACATTGCAAAATACCCTTAATTATCCTAAATCATAATGTCAGAATTACAAATTTGTAATACTCTTTTAAAGATAACAGAAATCAAATCTTACTTCACTATTTGATATTTATTCTTTTTTCTATTAAATTAGTTAATTAATGACTTCTCTATGAATGATTAATGAAATTTCATTATTCAAACATATTTTTTCTACTACAAGATAGTCCTCTGCAGTGGACTGATCGTTAAGACACGGTTCCCAGTAGAACACCGAAGTCAAGCATCACTACCTGCAGTCAGTGTGCAGCAGGGTGACCACTTGAATAAGTCTACGAAGGGACCGAGGGTTTGCAGTATTGGTCCTCGTTCTACTGTGAATCATTCGACTTCACTAGCAGGTCGTCGGGCTGCCGAAGCGGGGGTGCAATCCCCTCTGCTGAGGATCAAAATTGAGATGGTATGTCCTCGGGGATGTTTCCCAGACCGTCGCCAATAGCCCATTGTGCAGCTCTAGTGCGACGTAAATAAAACTACTACTACTACGTACTACAATATTTGAAGTTTCAAACATTTTTTAAATAACAAGAGGAAAAAATCTTTAATATTTCTAAGGATATCCCCAAATAACATTCACAAATGACATCTGTTTAGAAAGTAACGATATTTCTAAGGATATCACGAAATAACATTTAGAAATAACATTTGGTTAGAAAGTAATATTCCTAAGGATATCACTGAATTGAATTTATAAATGAGTTATAAAGCCTTAAAGAAAAATTCAAGTTCTAATCAATTGTATCTAATGTTTTTAAATTTCTTTCATAACGATGGAATAACATTATTTAATAACTTATTTAATAACTTATTTAATAACGATATAACAGAAGAACCAAATTCTTTAAGAGGGCCACTTACCGTTCATCGACCTGAAATCACAAAAATACATCGTTTTTTTTTACTTCCATAATAAAGGAATTAACAATTAAAATTTTTTAAAAACTTTTTATATTTTTATTTTAAAATTTCTTTTATTCCTCTAATTTATATTAAAGGTAATTTTAGAAATTTGTAAAACACCTTTGCTGCACTCCTTAACATTGCTGCCTACCTTGTCTGTCAAAACTGCTAATTTCAATAGAAAAGTAACATTTTCTCCGAAATTACTACTGCAATAAACCAGTATGTACTACATGTATATATTCCTTATAGTACTTGTTGTTATTGCCGTCAGTCATTAAGCAGAGGAGGTGCGACTGTTCCTGTTTTTCTGTGGCGTCATCTATGGCAAAGAATTCAATTTCTGCCACATACATTCGTCAGACTAGTTTATTAACTAGTCTGACGAATGTATGTGTCTGTTTAGGCAGAGCCTGTTTAGGCAGAGGGAGTGAGATTGTTCTTGTTTTCCAGTGGCACCATCTATGGCTAAGAATTCGACTTCTGCCACACCATACGTCGCACCCGTCTATACGGCGGACCCATTCCTACATCCATTCATTTGTCCTCAGATCATAATTTTGACCTGAACCAGAGAACCATCATTCTCCAATTCAGTACCCCCCAAAGTTATTGCTCTGTTATGGGAAAATCGGAAGACTTTGTGACCCGACAGATTTAACCTGCCGGCTGGATTTGAACTCCCCTTCTCACCAACATTACTCCAGCGCCCTGCCAACAAGGCTATTCCGGCAACACATATTATTTATAACAGCTATTTAATAACTATATAATAATTTAATAACAGCTTTTGCTTTAACATTAATCTAAAATTTATAATTGTGATGTTTTTTGGGCGTTTTTTTAGAAAACTATGTAGTATTGTATCAAACAAGTATCGTTTTAAAAACATTTAATCAAAATTTGTAAAAAGCATTCAATTAACGTGCATTCTCTTTGCTGGAAGAAAATTTTGAGTCTGTGTGCAGTCAATTTTCAGAAAATTTTCTTAAGAAGGACACTTTTAAACACTATGGGTATATCAGTGGTGATTAGAGGTGTTTGGATGACTGGGGTATAGTTTAAAGGTTATGTTAGATGCCTTTGAAAGACGGAGGTATATGAATTGTAGGTGAGAAAAAGCACATTTAAAATAAAATATCAAAATAAGAATCTAATTTTTTTTTAATTTTAAATTTATTTTATGTAATGCCAGTAAAAAAAAAATTTTTCTCACGGAAATAATGTTACATTTTTTCTTAAATGCAAAGAATATTTAAATTGCAATAATCTAAAATTTTTAAAATTAAATCAAAAAATTTTATTTTTTCCTCATAAAATAGTTTCTTGATCCAATTATTTTGTCCTATCCTAGAACATATTAAAAGGAATTTCATAATAAAACTACTAATAAATTTAAAGTATTAGATGCTTGGAGTCATTCCTCTCGTCTAGGGTCTCCCTCTAGTGTCTTTCGACCCCCCTCTCTGTATGCCTTTATAGACATTTGATTTTACTACATGAAGTCACCCCCTTAAAAGAGACCTCAAGGCTGTTGATGTTTACATAAAAGCAAAACATTTTCTCATTTTTCAAAAGGACGCAGTTACACTGTAAAAAATAAATACTCGATTATCACGAAACTTTTTTCGTTTTTGACGAAACCGTTTGCTGGTATATGATTCCGAGTAAACAATTTCATCAAAGTGACGAAATAACTATCGTCACTTTTTCGAAGAAACGAATTTATTCATAAATAAGGAAATATTTCGTCATTCTACTCTCAAAAAAAAAGGAAAAAAAAAGAAGCTCGTTTAAAATAGAAACTCGTAGTGCCTAATGTATTTAAATTTTCTATTAATCACTTTAACCATGGCACCATACATACGTCACGACACAGCAAAGACAGATAAATAAACTGCAACCATGCCCGAAGATGGATTCGAACTCTGAATCTTCCAGGGACAAGGCCAATTTCTTGATCACCATGCAACGTTGTCAGTTTATTTTCGATTGTCTAGTAGTCTTCATTTTAGTTTCGTCAACTATTTCCACATCGTAGTTCTAGTTAACAGTCTCCCACAACACAATTGTGGTTTCGAATTGAGGAAACATTTCCGTCATACATTTGAGAGTTTGCACTTCGTCCCAAATCACATGATTTTGTGACGAAATGATTATCAAAATTAACGAAATACTGCTCAAAAT